GTCCATGCGAACACATCGATATTTTCCTTAAGGAATCTAGTCAGGTCGCTAGCGAGCTAGGGGTTGAGATTGTTTCCGATCCTCAACACTCGACTCAGCTCGGCTCATTCTGGTCAACTGACACTTCAGATAAAACCTCAACCGGCCCACTGGAAGGGCATTCTTGGATACGAGGATCCATATTATCCTCGGCTGGGCCAGGCTATGGTTCGACCTGGCTGATCGCCATTGCTTGTTCGGGAATGCCATGTGGAGTGTCTTTTCCCCTACACGCCATCTACACTGCCCTTACATAGTAGTCGTGAGACGCGCGCTGAGATCTGCTTACTTCCCCTATCCCCGTCGGAGTGGGAAACTTCATCTTGAGATGGTAAATCAAATTGACTGCTTTGAAGTTTCTCAGTAGAGGTCGCCCGAGGATGCCATTGAAAGCGCACGAGCAATCCACTACTAAGAACTCAGTGATCTTGTTCACCTCGTCGGAGTCACCCAATGTGATCGGGAGTGAGATCGTCCCCTCAAGGATCAGGTGATCCCGGTGAAACCATAAATAGGGATAGAGGCAAGCTTCAGGTCGACCTTATCCAATTTCATTATTTCGAAAGCTCGCCAAAACAGGATGTTTACAGCGCTTCCGTTATCCACTAACATTCTGTGGACGTCGCAACGCTCTATCTGGGGCGTGATGACGAGAGCGTCGTCATGGGGATGATGCAATCGGACTGCATCTTTTTCCAAGAAAGTGATTTCCTCTTCCCTACGAACCTTTGACGGTCGCGGTGTCATGTTCATTACACGGATGGGGTCGTGATTGGCTGCACTAGCATACCTCTCTTGGGCACCTCACGAATTCCCTCCGAGGTGTGGTCCCCTAAAGATTATCCCTGCGCTGCAGATACCCTTGCGACCACGACGCTTCTTACCCGGTTCCTCCTTATTTTTCTCCCGCACAAAAGCGGAGTCATCAACCTACTTTTTGAAATGTCTCTGCTTAATAAGCTCCTCAATTGCTTGCTTGAGTGCCTGGTACTCATCGGTGTGATGCCCATTGTCCCGATGATAGCGACAGTACTTTTTACTGTTTCTAGCTGAAAGGGGACCTTTCATGAGCTTAGGCTCCCCAAGCAGGCCGGCCTCTTCTGACTTATCAAGAATAGCCGAGACCGATGCATTCAGAGGGGTGTATTAACTATTGTCGCGATTGCAACAAGAAACTGGAGCGTAAGATTTCTTGGGCTCATATTGCTGCTTCTTTCCTTTCCGCTGATCGTCATTAGCCCACCTGCGATCAGCCCTCCTATTTTTCCCCGGACCAGGTGCACTACCCGAAGGACCGAGGTCGTGGCGGTTGAGCGCCACCACGGAGTTTTCAATACGAAGGTATTTTTCTATAAGTCTGTAGAAGCGGGTGAGGGAAACATCGTCTTCTTATTGCAGCTCTTTTCACATATCTGTCTATGGACGAACTCCCACAATGATGAGAGTCCGAACGGACTCTTCGGGAGTGTGAGCTACCTTATGGAGCTCCTAGTGGAACCTGTCGATATAAAATTAGAGGGATTCATCCCTCTCTTGCCTTATGTTGCTGAGGTAGCTCAAAGGCATTGAGAACTTCCTGTTCGCTTGGAAGTGTCTCAGAAACGTCGAGTTCATCTGAGGTCACGAACTAATTGATCCTGCTAGGAGCGACCTGAACCATCGCTTGGCATGAGAAGTCAGAGTGACTGCCAAGCAACGGCATTTTGCCAAGTCAGAGACTTGGTGGAGTTCCATGAGGTCGTTGAACTCTTACAAATGATCTTGCGGATCAGAATTTCCATCGAATGCTCGCATATTAGGCATTCTGAATCTGGATGGGAGAGGGGCGGCTAACACAGCCGGAGAAAAGGGAGACGTCTCTACGACCTGCCCTTGCTCATCTCGCTGAGCCTTTAACTGATCTAGGGCTCGCTGTAGTTTCTCAATTTGAGGTAGCAGGGCCATCTGGGGATTGCTTTCCGCAATGCAGGTTCGACCCTCACGATTGCGGTTGAGGAAAGACCGTAGGTCGGATTCCTCCTTGCCTCGACCGGCAGTCCCAGCCAATCTGGACACATGCTGGTTAGAGTCGTGTGATGGTGCTGAATGGTCCGGGGAACCTTCTTGACCTCCACGGTGGTGTGAACCGACCAGCGAACGGTGGGAACTTCCCGCGCGATAACGATCGAAATCATCATTTTGGCATTAATGGGAATCTCCCCGCCTTGCACTTTTGTGGGAATGGGAGTGCTCGTGCGACGTGACACGGGATGGCTCGGGCCGTGACATATCATCGAGTCTTTGCGCCACGGATATTCTACCTGGGGCACGGTCGGTGTTCACTGGTCCCTGGGAGCCTCTAGGCCCGCCGTTCGCCACTTGCTTTCCCTTTCTTTGACGCGCTGTAGTGCGCGCAGCATGGGCTATTGCCCTTTTCCGCGCCTTCATGCAACCTGCAGGCGTTTTTGGCGACAGCACTGCCTCATTTGATTCTGGTAGCATGACCCGATCCAACCGGTCCAGCCTTTGGCTGACCGGTTGAAGAGTATTGTTGAACCTCTCTAGGTAACTCATGACGGCTAGGTCAAGCAGCGAGCTTGAAGAGATATCCCCCATGGTATTTTGCGGGACTGAGGGCACTTTGAGAGAAGTGTCCTCTTGTACTTGAGGGATCTCTTCGTCACCATGATTGGTTCACTCAGATTCAAATCGGTGAGCCATTTGTTGTAGTGGGACCGATTAGTCAAAGATTCTCCTGATGAAGAACAAGTACTAAATCAGGCCCTCCCTCTAGCATCAAACTATTGATGCTTGATTTTGACACCAACTGATTACACGGGGGGAATGCTGAGCAAACTCAGAAGACACACGTGCATATGGGGATGATGGGTTGAATAAGAGATGAAAAACAATGTTTAAAGTGGTTCGGATGCTTAAATAAGCGAATCCTACGTTCACTAGTATTATATTAAAATATAAGATCAGGTCACGTTCAACGAGCTGACTTATAGCTTAGAGAATACAAGTGAATACACGAGAGAGAGAGAGAGAGAGAGAGAGAGAGAGAGAGAATGTATGCTATTTCAGAGAAAAATTAACTAATCTCACAAACGGGAGAGGAGCCCTCTATTTATAGTGGGATGAATTGAGGTAATGATTACTAAATCTATGAGTGGGTCAGATTGTCGTGCAAATCCTTATTTGTGTCCCATTGCTCACCTGCTCGAGTGATTTCCTCGACTTGTGCAGGAACTGGACACGTAGAACGTCTCCAGCTTTTTGTCAATCTGGCGCATACCCACTGCACTGGCAGGAGAATGCCGCTCACGTCAGCATGCGACGTGACTGCGTCTGAATGGCTGCAGAACCTACCTAAGCTCTGACTGCCCAGCCTGACAAGGCTTGGCGTCAACCTTACTTTTTCAGGTATAACACTGTTTAATATATATTAATAGGGAGAACGACATTTTCCCACCCAAGGTTTGGCAAAACAACACTTTCCCATCCATCAAATTTCAAAATGACACTTTCTCACCCTTCGTTAGGTTTTATTATGTTTTCTATTAATATTTTACTGAAAAGACGAAAATACCCTTAAATATTTTACTTTATTAATTTTTAATTAGCCAAAAAGTCAAATATTAAAAAGTCAAAAAAGAAAAAATAGTTAATCTCACCTAAAAAGTTATGAGTAATGCTATAAAATTATTTAAAGTTAAATAATCTAAATATTTATTTATAATGTAATCAATATCTCATCACTATTATTTATAATGTTTTTCATTTTTACTAATTAACATAAAAAATCAATATTCCTAATTAATTAAATAAATAAATATATCTTTACACTTGGACTAATAAATAATTGAATAAAGACTTTGACTTAGACTTAGACTTAACTAAATTTAAATTTATAATAAACTATTTAATGGTATTTTCATCTTTTCAGTCAAATATTAACAGAAAACACTAACGGAACCTGACAAATGGTGGAAAAGTGTCTTTTTGATACTTGACGGGTGGGAAAATGTTGTTTCCTCAAACCTTGGGTGGGAAAATGTTATTCTCCCATATTAATATAACAAATATAAACCTCAAGAGGTCCCTAATAATCACCACAGTAGTATAGTAATTACGGTATANTTTTATACTATTACATCCAGACTTAGATTTATGTGTCATTCTGTATCTGCTAAATCAGACTGTACAGCCCGCAAAAGGCAGCATATATTGTCAATTTGAATCCATATTTGTATAATTGTCTCCTAAGTTGCATAGTTGAATATATATTATTTTTTTTCCATTTCTTTTTATGGTTAGTTATACTTTTTAGGGTGGCCGTAGGTTGGTTTTCTTAAAATCTCCAAATAAATAATGTATTATGTTTTTTCTGATCAATACACGGAGGAAACACATATTCTTCATCTTCTTCTAAATTTATCACGGGGTGTCAAAGTTAATATTGAACTCTCCCTTGGTTCGCTCTTGGCCACTTGGCCGTCTTTGCTGCGAAAGCTCCCTATTCATTCTACTCAGGCATTAATTGTTTATTCGATTTTCTTTCCTCTCATGCCTTCAATGTTAAGCTGCTTAATTTTTAACAAATATAGTAATAATGATTTCGATTACTGTTTAATATATATTAATATAAAAAATATTAACCTCAGGAGGTCCCTAATAATCACCCCAGTAGTACAGTAATTACGGTATATATATATATATCACAAATATTACATGATTCCGATTCTCCATCAAGTAAGTAATATTCAGGTTATCTCGCTACTGTGAACAATTTATCATAAAATTAATATTAGAATTACATCCTAGGCCCCAACAGCTTCGTTGTCAACTTCACAGCATCTTAGACAACACATGAACACACTATACATAATGATCTCTGATATTATAGGAAGTCACGCGACAAATTCAACTCAACAAAACTGAAACTGTCAAGGAACTTGCTGTTTTAAAGACAATGACACTAAGTTATAAATGCTTCTTCATTATATTGATATAAACTATGATACAAAATTAATAACAAATAACTCACAACAGTGAAAAAGAATGATAAATATCCGCATACAGGGCATATACAACCAAAGAGGAAAAAAAAAGAGATCGCCGGAATAAAAATAAGAAAGAAAGACGGCCAAACCCATCCACCCACAGACTCACGCACAGGCACACATCATTAACTCAACTAGCAGCAGTAGTACATAAGATACAACGCATGCGAGGAGCCCCTGATTGGGTATCCTCATCCTCAACACCATTATCAAACTCATATTCTGAAAATGGTTCCTGATAAGTCGCTCCAGCATCTCTCTTGCCAGTAACAGTATGCATGGAATCCATTAGACAATCCATGTGATAAGCATGACAACAATAGAACACAATGACAGACACATTCTGAATAGAGAAGGGATCAAAACACATGCAACATCTAGCACCGCCCCTAGTTTTTGACTTAACCTCCATGGTTCTAACACTCGATGTTTTTTCAATAGCCTGAGAAGCCCTATTGCCGTCTCTTTTTGACCGTGCATCATCTTCTTCATTGGTCAAACAGATTGCGCGTCTTGCCTCTTTGTAGTATTTAACTAAGAGATTTACAATATCAGCCTGTACGTTTTGACATAACACCAAAATGTCAAAAAGCATTGTGTTAACCACTAAACACCAAACTTGAGCTTAAAAGAGACCAAAATTGTTTAAACTCTAACAAGCCACCTCATGTAGATGGCTGAATTTAGTTATTGGAAATATGTTATTTTTCTTTTTTAGGAAACAAAAGATTTGTAGTACTCGAGGAGATAAAAAAGTTACCAAGTGGATTCCAGCACATGTGGATTCAAACACACAACACTTGAGATTTTAAATGCAAACACATTAATATTTAATTCATAGAACAAAGGGATTTGAACACAATACTCTATGGTCAGCCCCCTGACATTGATACTGATACCATATTAAGTAAATAACCTCTGAAAAACTTAAACGGATAAGAAAATATTCAACAATAATAATTAGACTAACATTTTAAGTGCAAGTTTTAATCAAATGAAAATTCAGTCAGAATACCTTCAGAATATCATTGCACCCATGTCTAAGAGATGTTTCAGTCCTGTAATCAGTGACAATTTTAACTAGACGGTCCCTTAGCCTGTAATTAACATACACATAGAGAGAAATTAATATATATAGAAAAGTATATCAAGGTTCTGACATGTTGCAGCAAAAGAGTATGGTTGAGATGTTGCTACATTAGGGAATTGATATCAACAAGTTTGTAGTACCACAAAAACAGTGGGTGAGCATGATATCAAGGTTCTGTTTATATTTTATTTAATTTCTTTCTAGAGAATTAATTTTTAGTTTGGTGCTCAATGAAGTAACTCCGTAAAAGTTTAGAAACTAGTAAGAATTAAATATAGTTTTTTTTTTTTTTTTTCCTTTTCTTCTTTTGCTGGAGAACTGATTCATAGTTTTGTGTAGTATTTTTTTTTTTTTTTTTTTTTTTTTTCACTTGCTGGATTTCAGTTCCACTTAACACTTGCAACCTGTAAGAAACCTGTTCCCAAGCTCAGGTATGTCAGACCACCAATTGACTGGAAGGAAATTTCTAGATATGGATACCTTATAACTAAATCTCAATCTATCAATTGGGAGAATTAGGTATATTCATCCAAATTCTCACAACAATAACATCATTGGACTCCAAAGCTACAGTATCAGATAGAATATGCAGAAATATTAAATAGAACTAATAACGCAATATATAATATAACTAACCGAGGTATCTCCAAACCATTGGGCACCATATTTACTATATAGAGCGGATCAAGATTGCCAACCGTGTGTTCTAACAACACACCAACCTGCCAAATGAAAGAAGCATTATTAGAAAAACTTGAAAAATGACTCATAAAACTATTGACTACAATATATGGACTAATGTACTGTCATTTTGCACATTAAGAATTTTAGTAGTATACCATTTCAGGTTTATGAAGGCATTGCTTAATCAGTTCTTCCCAAAGTTCATCGTCATGCTGCATGTTCACAAATTCTACAGCCTGCACAAAATCAAAGCACTTTTGTAGTCATCGCCAATCATCAAATTACCACACAACAGAGCAACCCCAAAGCAACCACTGAAAGGTATCTGTTAAATGGAAACCCCCTCTCAACAAAAGATATAAAAATACCTCTTCTATGTCCCCTAATTTATTTATGATGACAGCAAGGGCTTGTTTTGAATTTCCCATTCTTCCAAGAATGAACACTTGCTCCCTTAAAAGATCTTTTCTGACGCAAATATCATATGCCTGATATAAAATAATACAGGTTAATTTATAGAAAAGAAAAATCACTAAATTGGTAATTCATTGACCATTCTGACCTTCTCGAGTGTGTAATGCTGACTACTACGGAGAAAGGGAAGTAGCATCTTTGGATCATAATCTGCATAAAGTTCTACCTATCATAGTGAATAAAAAACAATGCAATCATTAGATAATACACACAACAAAAAAATACACAGAGAGTCTAAGATAACTACATTCTTCACACATTAAACATAACTTCAGCTTTACAAGTAACTATTGTTTTGTTTATAGTAAATATCAATTCTCCAAGGCAATTCTTATCATAAAATATGGCAAATTAAATGCAACCAAAGAAGGAATAATTCTGAGTTCTTATGAACTAATTTAACAGAGGTAAAAAAAAAAACCCACCAAGGGGTAGTTCTATCCAAGGTTTGAAGTATCGCCTTCCAGTCAAAATCACTTATTACTCATAATTTCCTATAACAACTTCCACAACTTCAGAAAGAAAAATTTAGTTAAAGAGGGATATACTCCAGTTGCCTAAAAATATAGGCTAGCCATCTTTTTCTATTTAGAATGCATTTGGAATGTGGAATTGGATAAATTACTTTGGATTAAATTTAACACTTGGGATTGGATAGGATTATAAATAGTAACATTCATGGAATGATGTACTAGAAGATTAGGTAGGATGACACATGATATATAAGCTCGAATTTCAGTCTTAGATTAGTAATACCGAACCCTGAGCTTATATATCCCACTGATAAGAATGCAAGTACGTTTGTTTATTCACCTCATAACTGGCCCTGGCTTGATAAGGTACAATAGATTTGACATTCTTGTCAACTAATAGTGGGGCAACTAAAAAAAAAAAATAATGAAAACTAAATAATGACATCACAGATACGTATCTAAAAGATATTGAGAGTTCAACATGGAGTAAATCTATAAAAAATCACAAGATAATAAAAAAAGATCTAGTGCAGCCCTTCAGTACCTGCATATCATGAAAATCCTTTCCTGCATGTGGATTTACTTCAAACAATGAATGCAAATATAAATGCAAGAAATATCTTGAATCACACTTGTTGCTGACATCCAGAAGCTGTGCAACAACTTCAGATGGAGCAATTAAGTCCTTGTTTTGGATCAATAAAGGAACTGCACGCTTGCAATCTAAAAGCATCAATTGCACAACCTGAAAACAAATAAAACGAATGCATCAGATGGTAAGTGATAGACAAGAATGAAAAATGCAACAACCCAATACTACCAGCTCAAAAAGTAAATCAATTCCCTCGATTAGTTGTCACAGATATTTGCCAACAAAGATACTTCCATATAACAAGTCCGGAGTGATTGTTTTTGAATTTCAAAACTGGTTTCTTAAGACATCAACATATAGTGAAGAATTTCCAAAAGTAACTTCATTTTTCAAACACATGTAAGAGCCTTCTCAAGATCAAACACAGCTAAACACAAGGAACTTTGAGAAGCAAAGTAATTTTTCACAACCTAGCATCACCATACCTTTTCATGGAGGGCATCATGTAAGTTATGCTTTTCAATGAAGTCAAAAACGTCTGGCTTCATAAGCTGAAAAATCACAATCAGCAAAATTAATCAAACAGAAGCAATTTATGTCAAAGTGCAAAACAGAAGCAGCATCTGGGTTTCCCGAAGCATTACATAAATCATACAATAACACAAAGGTTGCTTGAGTAATTAAGACCATTTTATTTCCAACCAAGAGGCCTAGGAACCCTCTTGGACCAATCTCACGAGTTTCTAACTACAAAGGTTGTAGAATTCGGTAGGAGTCCCCAATTTAGAACCCCATGAACTCAAAAGAGAGGTTTGGAAATTTTGGGGTATCAAAGAAAGAAAAAAAGACATAAATCTTAAAATAACATTTCCCACAGGTGGCTGCATTTGTGCACAGTGAATGTGCATCAGAAAACTTACATCAGTTTTGAGTGAAAAAGCCTTTTCATATTGCCCATTAATCACGTACAACTCTGCCAACGCCTGAACAAAACAGGACAATATGTTTTAAGAATGCAGCAATTTATAAGTTCAAAGTACATATGAGAGAAACATATACATGGACTCCTGACTAACCTCTTTGAGTTCATCAGTCATAGATGAAGTATTTAGCTGAGGTTCTATGGCAGATATAACAGGCAGTGCTGAGTAAATCACAGGTGGCCAAGTTTTAACAGTTGACAGAAGATCCCTATGAAAAGATGGATTTGTCGCCAGAGCTACAAGGGCAACCTGTAGCATAGAAGACATAAAGAAGCCTTGATCCCAATCTGGCACAAGAGAAGAAGTATGTATTATATCTTCATGAATTTTTGTCATACAAACCTCATAAGCAGTATCACGCAATCTTGGATTTTCTGTTGGCATGTATGGAACCAACACAGGGAGCTGACGGAGATGCGCAAAATGGAAAACCCATCTGAAAAAGCAGCCAACTCCTAGTATTAGCAAAGAATATACAGAAGAGTTATACAAAAACTGCCTACTAATACCTTTCCCAAGCTGAAGCAGATCCACGCAATAATTTGGGACACAAGGATGCAGCTTCAGCATATTTCCGCTCCACAATCAAATGATCAAGATATGTAGATCCCACCTACAAATATAACAACTAAAATTGTACGACTACGCTATGAAATATACAATATTAATATGAAAAGTAACAAGGGAATCACCTAGAGGGAGAAGGAACTAAAACTTTAACAACTATGCTATAAAAAATACTTAAATTGTTTAATGTTCATAACCGAAGTAAATTGAAATGAAAATAAATAAAGAGTACCTCATCAAGGAGTTCACTTCGTCCCTGACCTGCTTCAACTGCAGCTAAAGCTTTTTCATGCCACCCGTGCTGAAGAAGCCAAGCAATATGATCTTCAGCATCCCTGAAAATAGTACATGCATAAGGTTCTCACGTACAACACACTATCACAATCAATCTAGACTGTATTAAGAGAAAAATCATAATGCAAAACATTTTTGCATTAAATAATTCAAGACTTTCAAACTTCTGAAAATTCATACCAGAAAGGATCAAATGATTCCACCTTTTGTTGTGGGGAGGGGGGAGAGAGAGCATTTACAGATTACGACCTCAATCAAAACAACAACCATCAATAGCCATGATATTTTACAATGGCCCACAATAATTTATATTAAGAAGTACTAACAAAATTATTAATCAAAATATTTGTTGTTACTTTCTACAACTGAAAATTAATTTCTTAGTGTTAAATTCGATTTTACATATCCATTAATATATATCTAGATTGGACATGAGATGCAAGTGATCAATTCAGAGAGAAACATGATCATCCTCGAAGGCTGAGGAAACTTTTTACTTCAAGAATATATATAGTAAATTTGCCTTGGATTATGTTGAACTGATTGATAACAACAATAGTACAAGATGGCAAGAACCATCATGATATTGACAAGCTTAACAACAATAATCTCCCTTATAACTCAGGACCTGAGAGTTGATTTGTTATGAGGAGTCAGTTTGATTGGGTGCGGATGCATCAGTGAATGTAATAAGACACCTAAACAGATATTACACTACAGAAGTAAGAGGAACAGTTTTGTTACAGGTCAAAAATATTACAAAGAAGACACAACATTCTAAAATAATATAGTTTATTGCTGTTAAATCATTGAGAGAATTGTAAAACAGAAGCACCACAACTACACTCAAGCCACGTATCATACATACTCCAAACATGATTTTTTAATCAAAACACCATCTTTCTCTGTATGAACCCAAAAAATAAATAATAATAGATACTAACCTGGGTTTTGCAATGACTACATCCTTTGGGGATACAACATAGTATAAAGGTTCATCACCAGCAGCCCACTGACCACCAGCATAACTGCTACCTAATTCATGTCAAAAACTATCATTGCCACTTGATGTAAATTTTCTGCTATATAAACATTATAAACATCAAAAATGAAATTAACCTGAGAAAGGAGCATGAGCAAGGGAATAGTCCTTTGCCTTGTAATGCTCAAAACCATGTACTGGAAGAGCATCTGTTGCAAGTTCATCGTTACTCCATTTTACTATGCGCACTTCTGGTCTCTGTGCATTTCCCTGCTCAAAATGAACTGACAAATCTTAGCAAGAGAACTGCATGCACAGTCAAAAAAGCAAATAAAAAACCATCAACCATACCATTTTGGTAAGCAAAAGAAATGGTCAACAAGGCTGTCAATAATTCCCACCATCAAGAAAAAACAGTGAACAACAGAACAGAATGGTACAGAAACATGGGTAATCAAACCATATACAGAACAACGAGTCATATGACTAAACATAAAAGCAAATTCCTCCTTCATGAATTATTAAAAATAAAATCAAGCCTTCTCTTAGCAACAAGTTAACAGAATAGTTAAAGGAAAAATGCTGAAGTTCTTAGTCTACTGGATACTGTAAGAAAAACTGAAAAAGATGTCTTAGATTGCTGTTTTGGAAAGAAAACAATAGAATTTTGAGTATGTATTTATGCATTTCCTATTCAGACAGAGGAAAGAAAAGAAAAATTGGAACTAGATATTACCTGGGCCTACATAAACTATCACTAGATATGTCTTCATAAGCAACATGAACTTCTTCAGAATCATGTGTGCTTCTGAAGAAATTTCCTCACATTAAAATTGTTCATAGTTTGAAAATAATAATAATAATAATAATAATAATAGAAAAACCACTATTACAAACACATGTAGCAAGAACTTCAGTTATTAAAACCACCACAAGCCAAAAATTCAATCAAGTTTCATATCGATAAAAAATTAACTTCAGATCTACAAGCTCAATGTCGAACAGGAACTAAATGCATCTTATAGCATGTGATGTGAAAATACCTGCCGTGAAGGAATGGTGCTACTAAATTCCTTCTCTCCATCTTCCTCCCCGTGAATATAAGCTAAAACAACCAATGAATCGCCAAATGGAGCAATTCCTGAAATATAATAGCTTGTTTGAAACGATGCCACTATATCAACCTGGTTCATGCTAGACACTGGAACATGCCTATAGGTCCCATTGGCTCCCTTATTCTGATTTGTTCTTATTGATGCAATTTTGACAGATGTGCCCCAGCCAATGACCAAGAGACTATCATCCTGATGTGATTCAAAGATAATAAGCAATGGGATAATTTCTTTTAAAAAGAAGGTAACAAAAAAAAAAAAAAAACACTATGCTCGGCTGCTTCCACTGATTTGGGAGAGGGTTACAAAACTTTTAGACCACAAGAATAAATTTAAAAAGGGATTTGTCACAGCTGTTCAGATAAAGATAACTGCTAGCACATGCAAGATCTAGTGTTTAATTAAAAGAAAAAGAGTTAGCAAAATGATTATTGCAGCTTTCCAGAAAACCAAAGATGGTCCACTAAACCTTGAAAAACTGACCTGCCAAACTAAATGAGGAAGCAAGATTTCTGGACGTGGGCTTCCTCGCGGCCTTTCAATAAATGTGATACGCTGATCGTTGGCAACATCATAAACTTTTACGCCTGCATCATTAGCCCAAGCAATGAGGCTTGCTCTCCACTTCACTGCATGTATTGGACCTTCACCAGAATGCAGAACCTAGAAACAAAATATTTTGCAGCACTCAAGGACCCAAAATTTAATTGAAAATTTTTTAATAAACTATAGGTGGATAGAAACGTACAAACCTGGTCCCGGTAGCCTAGCCATTTTTTTGAATTAAAATATAAATGACCTGCTAAACCCCCAGCTACAAATCTTCTAGATGTTTTTCTCGCATAATCTGGGTCCAATGAAATAGCCTTCATTGGACGATGATACTCAAACCTCATTTTTTCATCAGTGAAAAGGCTGTTTATTACAACAGACCCATCATCTGAACAGCTTCCTATATATTCACCTTCTAAATCAAAGCTAAGATCATTGACCACAGCAGTATGAGCAGAAAATTCTTTAACCTGTAGAGAAGAAATTCAAGTACATATAACAAAATGAAAGCCAGTGATTTGTATGTAAAAGATCAGTCACCAAAGACAACCATCTATAAGCCTTGATATAGCTAAAATAAAAAATAGAAATAAAACTTCCTGCATGCCAAAGTTATTTGAAGACCTAAAACCAGACTTTGGAGCTTTACCCAGCCACAAAAAAGTATGATTGACACAACCCAATAATTCAAGTTTAAGCCATAAAACTAAAATCAACTTCAGATTATGAACAGACAACACAATTTCAGAGACGATAAGAATACTGATTTTAAAATAAAATATATATTAGACAGTAAAATCAGCATCGAAGTGAGTGGTCAGCCAATTGGTAAAGGAATTAAAAGATTAACATTTTCAAGGCTCTCTCAAATTGACTATTGGAAAACAAATAATCACATGCTAACTCGCACTACGGACTTATTTGGATACGTGGGAACAGTCAGTTTTTAATTTTGTCAAGACAAATGCGCCTAGAATGAAAACACAAACTTGACTTGGAAATCATTGTTTCTTATCTTCTTTCCCATGATTCAGTAAGTTAAAATCGCAAATAGAAGTGACACAATTATGAAACCACCATTTACTGCATTTGCTCCTTTGCATTAACCAAATGAAATTGACCTTTTCTCATTCAGATACTAAAACTTCCAGTAATTGATTAATGTCAGCAAGAGATTCCACTAAGGTTCAAGACTAAACATTAACAACAACTTTGAAAGCAAAAACAACTTAGATAAGTACGAAATATTCTTCGGTGTATAACCTCTAATCTAATATACCATCTGATACTAGACATGTCAACTTTTAAGCTAAAAGCAAACAACATCAAATCACTAAGCTCAAATCAATAAGTTCATACAAGCAATTAAATTTCAAGAGAACTCGAATTGACAAGTAACAGAACCAACGGACTACAATAAAATTCAGACGCCATTAAGGAGCTCAAACAAAATTTATAATTTTTTTTTTTTTTTTTTTTTTTTATTGACTAACCTGATTCCCCAAAAAATCGAGAATATGAACCGTGCCGGCATGAGTACCGAGCGCGATCATCCGCTCAGCAATGGCAATACACGAAGCGGCATCGTTTTGTATAAGCGAAGGGACGCTACCTCCCATCCTCTGATACTTGAGCCTCGGCTCTTCTTCCTCCTCTTCCTCCTCATCTTCGTCCTCCTCTTCTTCTTGTTCCTCTTCTTCTTCTCTCTCGTCGTCCCCTTCGACGCCGTTCTCCGACGGAATCGGAGCCATTTGAACAATAATGTTTGTCAGGTTTGTGCCGTTTGGATTTGAGAAAGGAAAGTGAGAGAATTATTTAGAAGAGAAGATCTGCCTGGTTTTTTATTTTTATTTTTTTCAATTTCGTTAGAATTAGAAACAGTTGTTTAATTATTAATTTGCTAGACAACAAAAGAGTTGTGACGAATGATGGTCGCCACCTGTTACTGATTTTTACTTTTCCATTTTTATTTCCTTCTGTTTGGGACTTTCGCTCTGCTGCGCTCGCTTTGTATTGTAATGGAACATGACACGACGTCGACGTGTGCCAAAGATGATCATCAATCACTTTGGTTCATTGGATTTCTTTTTTTCTTTTTCTCTATTTGATGGTATCTGAAAATTGATTTGATATCAAATTGTTCGTCCAGCGACAAAGGAACGAATATATTTAGAAGAAAGGCTCCGTTTGTTACACTTTTGTCCAATATAGTTAAACTTATTCTTGAAATATTATTTTATATTATTTAATTTTTTTTAAATCCCTTTAATTAAGCATTCTTAAATATTTTTTTTAGAAATTATAAAAACACCCCAATAAGACAGCAACCCTCCGGCGGTGGTAGCCAATTATCCGTATTTAATAGGTGAGTTGGAAGTGTTTTTATTAACTTTTAATACTTTATTATAGGGGTGTTTAGTAAATAAACAAACATATAAGGTATTTTTGTTAATTTATAAATCCTACATCGTAATACCCGCTCAATTTAATTTTTTTCAAAATATTATTCTAAAAAGTATCAGAATAATAAACCAAACGGACCCTAAGTTTCTTATTGCTTTTTGGCCGAACGACATATTCCCACTCGAAGTTTGCTCCAACGATAATTTACTATTCAAAAAGTTTGAAAACGATAATTATCCACCAACCGTTAATATATGTACGACAATTACCTATCCTTCATTAAGATTTGTTATTCGGTCAGTCATAATCGCACTGGCTAGATGCGATTTGGCCAGAATTGCACCTAGCTAGGCGTGCTTTGGTCAGAATTACACATTGCAACGTGCGCACAAGGAGATCGTTGGGTTGGCTGAGGCCTTTTCACGAACGGTTGGTGGGCAGGTTGGGCTGGGAGGATGATCGATGGTGAATGGTTGGGTTTTCCGGCCAAATTCAATCACAAAAACACTTAAATTAATCCCTCAAACGAACCCCGAACTTTAATTTCATCAAACAACAATCTTCAACAATCAATTTCGCAACAAACCCTACATTGCATTAAGCGGCGAACAGCGAACAATGGGTTGTTGGGACCGGGAGCTTAAGGGTTTTGTAGAGGAGAATTTGGTGAGCCAAAGGGTAGTGGTGGTTGGGGTTGCCATCATCGGACCGGCTATGAATCCAGCCAATTTTGGGGAAAAAAAAACAGTCAAATAGGGCTTGGGAAGGTTTAGATCAAGGTTGGGGCCTTTTGTTTGTTGCAATTGGTGCGAATTCCGGCTAAAGGCAGTCAAAAGGCCGACAATTGTCAGCAATGGGTGGTTTTGTCATTTTCAAACTTTTTGGGCATGAAATTTCCCTGGGGCAAACATCGGGTGGGAGGATGTCGTTTGGCCTTGCTTTTTACTTTTTAAGTTTTAACTTCGTTTCATAACCGTTGCAGAAACAAAGTCCTAATTCTTTTTAAATTATTATTATCGACCTTTTACTTGTTATTTAGTATATTTACACTCAAAGAAATTATATTTTTTTAAATGTCCATAAATTATTCCATATATTTGTTTGTTTATATTATACATCCAGCTAAAATAAATAAAATTTACTTTTTTGGATAAAATTCTTAAAGTCTATTTGACTGCTCTTATCTAATGGCCAAAATATATTATTTAAAGTTATAAACAATTTTGAAGTTCTTTTAAGTTGTTTGGTAATGTTTGAAAAGCATTTATAAGATTTAAAATAAGTTATTTTAGGGTTTGTTAGATTTGAGTTTTTCTCATAAGCTTTTTTTAGGTGATTTAAAGTGTTGCAATTTAAAAAATATCCTTATTTTATGCTATATATTTAACTTTATTTATTCTTGCATATTAAAACTATTTTTTGGTAATTTAACACTAGAAAACTCTTTTGTATTTTTCTAACCAAACAATTAAAAACTTTTTTTTATAAAAACCAGATTTTTATAAATTTTTCTTCTATAAATTGTATTTTAACAAGTTATACCAAACAGACAGTTAAACAATATCATAAGAAATAACCTAATAGATATCATAGACATAATTAAAATACTCTTGTAAATATAAATTATTTGTTATAAAATTATTCTCAATCACTTTTTTAAATACGTTTTAATAATATATACAAATTATAACAAATTATACAAATTATATTAAATATATAATTTATTGATATTTACTAATTTCCATGTTATCAAAACATAACTAATATATATGGTCATATATTATGAGAATTACATTATAATAATGTTACCAATAGGATCCTTCTAAGTTATTTATGGGATGAGTCAGAGTATGACAATGACACACTCATACTTTGGTGGGCTAGCAGACAAAGAAAATAAATGTGATCTGGCTAACCAAGAAAAATAAAATTTATAAGCGACAGGACCCTTTCAGCGTTGGCAAAGGCCAGCTTATATGTTGCTTTAAGTATGCAAAAATATAGGCCATGGTCTACCTTACCTGAATGTCAAGTACTCAAGTATCGACGGCTCGACGCCTCAATAATTTGGACTTGATATGAACTGTTTACTTTTAAAAAAACTGAAAATTATCCTGGATCCAGTCCAAATTCATAGAAAATCTTAACTTTACTACATTTTATTTTTTATTTTGAGTTTTATGTATTAAGTTTGGTATATTTTATATCAAACAATTAGCAAAATAATAATAATACATACCCTAAAAATTATTCCAAAATTCTCATTCCAAATGACCTGAGATATAAATGAAATGGTGATTTGATAGATGATAGGAGAATATTAAATAATATAATGCATTTTACTCGGATATGAATTTTGAGATTTGTTTTGAAATATGTGTTGTGTGGTAAAAATCTCCAACCTGGGATCAATGCAGGAGCCCGGTATATGCCTTTGTTTGGAGCGAACGTTAAGCTCAGGAGTGAAGATGAACAACGAAGAGCACAAACGATTAGCACATATGTGCGAGGACGACATGTGACAAGACAAGAAAGGGGCCTACCACATGAAGATAGCTTTTCACTCAGACAAATCACCTTACCACGTATAAGCTACCTACCTTGATCGACGACACATGGCTATGCAAACTTCACATGCTCTCCATAGAGCCCAGTTGAGAGAAGACTTGTAAATGGCACATACCGTTAGAGGAAACACCATCATTCTCTATGGCATAAAGGCACGTGAGCCTCCGTCGTTGCGCGCCATAGAATAATCCGACTGACGCATTTATCGTCATGACATTCCCAAGTCCTTGTATAAATAGAGTCAACAATCAAAAGGGAAAGGGGCTGATATGATCTTTTCCTAGTCTAGACTCAAGTTCCAAGAGTAGAAGAAGGAAACACCTCCCTTACCTGCAGGGGGAAATCCATTCTTTATAACCAAAAATCATACACTCGAATAACATATCAACGGACGTAGGGGTTATTCTTTCTCTAACCGACCACTTTAAAAGGCTCAATTCTCACACTGTTTTTCAGGAGGGCATGCCATTGCCTTGATCACCACGATGCATGGATCAAGTCGCCTTTGCTGATTTCCTGGAATCATGCACCCATCTTACTCAGTTTCTTCAGAGGTCCACTAAATATCTCTAATTGGTGTGGAATTTTGTCACTACATTCTAGTTGGTGTGAAATGTAGAATGTGCGAAATCTCGCATCTACAATATGTAACATTTTAAGAGAGTTAATGACACTATTAAAAAGGATGACTCCATTATTGTTTTATGTATTGGGTTTGGATATACACTATACAGGCACATATTTAAAATATTTACACAAAGAGATGATATATTGTGTCTAATGGCACAAAAACAGGTCATTTCATCTAGATATTTTAGATTACACATAAATGGCCATGTTTGGCTTATTATTTTTATCCTTATTCCCAATCCTATTCTTCAATAATGTTTGACACACAATTCCAGAAATATTACTCTATTTTTTTAATTACTTTAGACCCCATAAGGTTATTAATTTCATCAAATACACACTGAAAAAAAAGTTTAAAATTTCAAAAACACCCCCGCAACCCATACTTGCCAGATTCTGGCAACCATCATCCGTGGTAGCCAGAATCTGTACAACGGCTACCTGACAACCATAATGGCCGAAGTTCACCGTCTAGTTGTGAACGACAGCCAAAGAAATGGCCGTCGTTGAGGTCAATGACGCCAAATCTTGGCCATCGTTGACCGAAAACGACGACCATATTTAGCCAAAGATGGTCGTCGTTTTCGCCTTTTTCGGCCGTCGACGGCCACGGCAGGCTTAGATCTGGTCTTTTCCGATCAGATCCGTGGTGGATATACCGAAAATGCCATAACGGCGTTACGACACAAATCGACCGTCGTGTGTCGTAGATGCGATTTTCCTGTCAGATTTTGGCAATGGTGGCCGGAATCTGGCATTGCAGGTGGTGGGAGTATTTTTGTCATTTTATGTGTTGGGGTATTTATTACATTAGCAAACTTAGGGGGTTTTTTTAAAATTTTAAATTTACCTCCATAATCTCATATTAATTATCCATACTATCCCCAAATTATATCCAAATAATAAAACAAATGCACCCAATTATCGTATGAAATTATGATATCATTTCAAATTTTGACGCTAGTATATAAAACTGTGTTTTTAGTAAGGGAATTATTTTCCTCCACAAATCAGTGTTATAAAGATTTTCATGAATTCTAAAATATGATAACGTAGTTCAATCCAATTAGGCATTAACCATAAGAAAGTACTTTATATAAATTTTTATTAACAAATAAAACGATATATTTGATGTAACAAAATTGGCTGGGATATTATTTTTCTATAAATAAGAAAAATTGGTTTATATAATTCGACATGAAAGTAAACTGAAAATTAAAATGTTTTTCTCATTATAAGAAATAATTTTTCGAGAAATATAAAAAAAAAATTTGTTTGAAAAGAATTTTCATTTCATTTTTTTTTTAAAATCTGAAATCCAAAATTGGGAAGACTTGCGTTGCTCATGCCTAGTGTTACGGGTTAGGAGTTTCATACTAAAAAAGCTAACCTATTAGATGAAAAGACCCCATTTATAGCTTAATACTTCCTCAATACATTTTTTGTAGATTCGTTACATCTCTTCTATCAAATCTTTGACGCCCTCGTCACTCTTGGTAGTCCCTACCTACTCTCCACCTCACTTTTGTGTAGACTCATAATCACACATGAATCCCTTATAGGTCTGACGAGACATCAAAAATTAATCAAATCTGTTATGATATCACTTGCCCTATAAGAGTTTCACACCAAAAGTAACCTATTACTATTAGATGGGGAACTGCCTGTTTAAAACCAGACCTCCCCACCATACGCTTCTACGTGGATTCGTTACACTAGAACCAAATATAATGGTCTCTAAGTGAATCAGCTTGAGCTCGCTACGCCTACACAGAGCTACAGAAAGTCATACAAATAAAATCAATAATAATCAGTTTCCCTACCAAACAAACAGAGCCAACAGTTATCACCATCACCCTCCTCTGGACTTATCACATCTAAATTTCCAATTAGATCTCTTTGTAACACTCGAATCAATGGCTTACAGTTCAACAAGTTGTGATCTAGGGGCGTGGAGTTGAGATGCAGCCGAATCTGTTCCCATTCGGTACCGTATCGGGGAATCCTTTTCTGTTCAATGAAGATTTGAGGGAGGGAGGAGGTTTCCAGAGCTCTAGCGTCTTCTTCTTGGTCCCGTCTTGTTATTCCAAGGAGGCGGAATGGATTTGTCCAAGGTCGGTGAGAAGATTCTTAGTTCCGTACGCTCCGCTAGATCCATTGGACTATTGCCTTCCTCTTCTGATCGGCCGAGGTATTTTTTTTTTATTTTACAATTCTATTAAATGCAGTTAATTCAATAGAATTAGGATTCAAATTGTGTGTTATTTACTTACTCTGCTGGGATCAGGACAGTCCTGTCTTACTCTGGATACTCTTATATTATCAAGGAATGTTGAAAGATTATTCCTGAAACTACAGAGCTTGATCATTTTAGAGGCCTGAACATTAAAGATATGGCACTGCTAATTTTCGAGTTTAGCATTACTAGATGGGAGATACTTGGTAAATTCCAGTTTAATTTTCTAGCTCCATGCAATACCTTTGATTTGTGGAGTTTCTTTAGCATTGCTTTTGTGGCCATTTTTATTGATCATTCTTGAAAGCAAGTTTAGGTGAACTTAAATTGGGGAAAGAATACAAGCTTAAGCTTGGATGTATATTCATATTCATAAAAAATGAATTGACCCTACTGATTTACAAGCCGGTGAGATCCATAGCAAGATTTCAGCTTTCCCATGGCAGTTGCGGATATCATTATATGACTAATAATATAATAAAATCCTTTTTCTAATGCAAATATTATAGTAATAGATGCCTTCAGGGCAATAGGTTATCATTTAGAAGATTTTCTATTTATGAATTCAAAAAAAAGACAAGAAATTTCTTTGTTCTTATGTATATGATGTCTTTCTTCAAGGTATTCGGTTGGGTTTATGGAGTAGGTTTGATCATGCATGAGAACCAAAGTGCAGTTAGGCTGTGATTGATAACCAATCAACCAATGCATTTACTTCTGTCTTTGCATTGGTTGTTGAATTTCCCTCCATTGATCTTGGTCCAAAACAAGATGAGAGTCCTAATTTGGCCAACTCAATTCCATGTGAAAAACTGGTGCTTTAATTTTGTTAATTATGAAGTTTAGCATTTAATTCTATGCAGTGTTGACGTTTTGGGCTGCATTTTGCTGAAATAAGCCCAAGTCTGTGGGTGTTGTTCTAGTGTTGTAATAGTTTTTTGAACATTGAAGTTGGATATTTTGGTGACTTGGATGGTTAAGGTTTATGTTGGATGAAGGACTTGATAGAGTCTTGAAATGAGGGATTCTTTTATGGGAACTAAGACTTGGCAGTCTTGCGTACATTGTGCTTTTGGTATCCTTTTTTTTGAAACTTCAAACAAGTCATTTATTGTCAGAATTGGATTAATGTATTCTTTGTTACTTTCTCCAGGTTCCAGCTAGGGCTGCGGCAGCTGCAGTTGTTGCTCGTGCTCTTGCAGGACTGCCTGCTCACCAAAGGTTCAGTCTTCCGTCGAGTTCTGAAGAACTTCGCTCTATATATGGAAGTAGACCTCAGGTTGAGATAGTGGAAGAGCTAGAAGAAGAGTTCTACAAAGAGGTTCTACTTTCTTACAAATGCCTCTCCAGTTTAATTTGATGTCTTTCTTTTCTACTTTGTTTGAGACTTTGTATATTTGCATGTCTTGACAAGCTATTGACAGTTCATTTAATGGTCTTGTTTCCAAATTTAGCTTCATTATGGAACAGTTACTTTTCTTCTGTAAAAATATGACTCTTATTTTATGCATTTATGACTTGAAGGAATAGCTTGCTTGTAAAATTTCTGCATTATAGAAGCATCAGTCGATCATGAAATGGGTTGCCTTACAATTAGGTGTGTAGTTTTTCTCTATTATGGTGAATTGTTTTTCTCTATTATGGTGAACTGTAATTGGCACTTATATTCAGATCACTTTATTTTCTTTAGTCTATCTGAGCTTTTGAATCAACATCTTCTCATACTCATTTGGAATTTTTTGGGTTTAGATATGAAAAGGTGGCACCCTTAGTAGCTGCTTGAATATTTCTTTTGTCAGAGATAGTTAAGAAGTTCATAGAGGGATTATTAGTTTGTTTTCTCATCGATATCTCAAAATGGATATGAATAAATCTTCATCTCTCTCTGTCTTGCTTATTCCTTCTCTTTCTGCAATCCCTGGAAATCATTTGCATACATTTGCGTACAAACAAATAAAGATAAGATCTACTAACTTCTATATCTTTTGCCTGCATGTTTGTATTTTGGCTAGCTTAACATTATTATATCTCTGTCCCTCTCAGCGCTCTTATCTTTATGCCTTTATCAAAGTTGGATTATTTGCTAAATTAAGCTGTTATATATATCTTTGTGCAGGATTTTGATCCAATAAGTCATATTTTAGAGCATATTCCCTCTGAAGAAAATGAGCTTGAATATTTTGAGAAACAGGTATAACTCTGATTTTTTTTCTTAATTGATATGAGGTTCTGAGTCTAGACCAGAGGTTGATTGTGGACCTTTGGCTCCCTCTTAATGAATGCATGTGCCTCCTTTTAGTTGTTGGACAGTAGGTTACGTAACCTTCCTTCAGCTGGTTGTTGGATGTCTGTTGGATTGTTTGGAGCTATGAAGCTTCTGGTTTTCTTGATTCTCCAATTGGGTGGTTAGATATGTGATAAAATTGAATCAATCTGTTAATTATAGAAATTAATTTGTGTAACCGTATACCTCAGTGGTGACTTTACCATTGTAAAATGTGTTGAGGCTTTCATAGATTTGTGTCTATGCTTCTAGTATTCCATGCTTGATTTTACTTTACTTGAGTTTTGTCTCCTTGTCATTTGATTGTATTGATTTTTTTTTTTTTTTTTTTTTTTTAAATTTCATTTTTGGATTCATGTCATATGTGGTTAATGTAAGGGTTACTTTTTTTGTTTGTGAGTAATAACTAACAGTACATAGAGGGTTCTTGTATTGAAAGCTGAATCTTTCTTAAATTTTGAACAAATTTAAGCTTAAATCAAGTGAAATCTTCATTTGTAGGCCACTCTTCGAATATCACAACTAGATAGAGTAGCTGAGCTTCTATCTCGCAATGTCATGGAGCATCATGAAGTTATGGGTAAGTTGTTTTGATCAGCCTTAGAAATTGTATCAATAATACTTTCTTATGGTATATTTTATTTTTGTTTTTACAATTAGATTACTAGAAATCTCATTGTTATAAGATAATCTTATGTTTTTCGTATGAGATGTCTTTAACCATTATTTTACTACTTGGATTTGATTTTATAAGGTCTTTGTTTGCCTCTTAAATTATATTAACCATAATGTGACTGAATGTGGTTCCTTGATGTCATATTATCTTTGTCCGACCTAAGTGTTCATTTCATCTACAGCTATTATACATGTAAAATTGTTTGCTTATTTTAGTTTGGAGACTTTTCTCTTTTTTCTTTTCCCTCCATCCTTGTATGTGTGTGTTAGAGACAGAGTGACTGTTTCTTGGTTTGATCATCTGTTCATGGTGTCACCGATATTAACCTAAATTCTGAGGAACCTTTTTAAATTTTGAGTGGAGAAACTTGTTTTATTTTTTCAACCCTTAGACCTTGTTGAGGTTTGATTCTCTATTCTGAAAGTTGATATATTTAGAACCTATGCCCTGCTTGTTAAAATGACCATTTCATTCAAACCTCATAAAGAAGAAAAATCATGCATCAGCTGCTGACTATAGACTAGGAAAGAAATGAAACTTTTAAGAGAAGGTGCAATTTTACCAGTTTGAGATAAAGCCTTGGATTTAAAATTGATACCAGAAGCTTCCAACTTAGATGATATTACTCTTTTCCAAGGCAATCTCACTCATTTATCCTAGGACTGATCCTGAAGATCATTCACATTTGTTATTAATGCATTGTCCAAGTTTTCATGTGGTTTGGACCCAAAGTCCTGGATCAGTTGTTGAGTTGATAATTAAGTTTGAGAAAGGAATTTAAATTGTTGGGAGTCAAGTGGATGGGAACTGATTTCTTCATTTATCTAAAGAAATGTGGGTATGGACCGCTAGGAACCCCACCAGTGCCCCTGAATTACCAACAACCTTTGGCTCTTTTGTATCGGACTATATGTGTGGAACTTTATTTGCTCCCTTCTCTCTTTAGTTATTTAGAGATAGAACTGTCAATTTGGTGTCAATATATTCTAATACCGTTATTTGTTTGGTTTGACAGTTAATCTCTTAGTTCTAGTGTTGTTACTCATTATATCTAGAGGTTTGAAATATTATAACATTCATCTCTTGAATATCATGCAGAACAGTTCAGTTTTTCAGCCTTTTCGCTTGCTATTTCTCTTTTTTTCTTTTTCTTTCCTTCTTCGGGTTAAGTGTTCCTTACTTTAAGTCTAAATCTGATTTTAGTCGCCATTGGTATGATGTTTGAAATTCAATTATGTTATATGGGAAGGGATATTAATACTTGCTCTTGGGCAGTGAAGGGGATGAATTTAGTCAGGGAACTGGAGAAAGACTTGAAGGTTGCTAATGTTATCTGTATGGTAAGTTTTCGCATGGTAATTGCTTAAGTATTTAAAGAACCACATATTGACCAAAAATGTCCTCTCCCATTTGCTTACATTCAGGAACATGTGGAATTTCCGATTCATTTATTCCTTCAAGCTACTACCACCATCCATTTACTTAATCGATTTGGTTTATGTATAGTTATTTTTGTGTTTGTAGAATGGAAGACGCCATATAAACTCATCAATCAATGAAGTTTCAAGGGATCTCATTGTAAATGCTAATTCGAAAAAGAAGCAAACACTTCTGGTATATTTCTTTATTTTGACACCTTATCAACCAAAACTGTGATTACAATTTCCTGGGTTTTTTCATATCTTGATATATATATAAATAACTTAATTCTATTGTTCAGGCCCTTACATGTAAGCTTAAGTTTTTGAGTCATGATGACTAAACATGGTACTAGACTCTTGTTGATCAATTGGTCTTGTGTTTGAATCACCCTCTTATAATAATTAAATTATAGTAAGTTATATTTGTGGTTATGGTTGAATTTGTGATTATGGTCTGTATTTGGTCCACGTGAAAGTGCACATGAGGGATGTCATAGGATTTAGTTACTATTGTTGGTCACTTACCTATAACCTTAATCTTATAGGTTAAGTGGTAACTCAACACATTTTATTTGTGAAAAAATGGTGGGATTCTAATATCAGATTGTAGCCACTTTGTTTAGAGAGTCCTGTATGTTCTTTAGGCTTGGCTGTTGGTAAAAATATTCATGCTCCATTGTACTTCGTGTAGAGTGATACATAAGTCTTAGTCAATGATGTATTTCTAGTAGTCTTTTCTTTCTTTTCAACATCTCTTTATGTTCTTGTTCCTCTTCCTTTGGTAAGCTAATGTGGGGTCTGATGAGAACACAACCGCAATGCTCAATAAAAATGCTATTTGTTAACACTCAGCATCACCTCTAAGTAACTAGAAAATTATATTGATATATTGAAATGAAAATGATGGCCAAACAAACTAAATACAGGAAATAACAATGAGAAAAAAATAAAAGGGGTGACTAGCGCTTCAAGGGGCTAGTGGCCTCCGACAATAATTCCAGATTTCATGATCCTATTAGCCAGCTATTTCCCCCCCTTATATACAACTGAAATCATACTCTTCGTACTCCCTTACGTGGAGATTCCACCTAACTAACTCTAATCTGAATTTCCCTTATTGCCCATTCTAACTGAATTTCCCTGGCAACCCTTTCCCTTTTTCTTCTTCTTGTACAACTTAGTTATAGGAGGCCTATCGATACCCCCCCCTTCGACACCCACCTTGTCCTCAAGGTGAAAATCTGGGAACTATAGAAGAATCACGTCATAAGCCTCCCAAGTGGCGTCAAATGGTAGGAGGTCCTGCCATTTAATCAGAACTTCCAGAGAGCCATCCAGTAGCTTGTGAGTGGAGAGGACAGCTTCGGGGTGCACTTGAAGTTCCAAGTCGTCAGTCAGAAAAGAGGGAAGTTGTTGGACAGGTACTGAAGAATGAAGACTCTGTTTAAGTTGGGAAACATGAAACACCGGGTGGATACAAGAAGTAGGGGGAAGGTCCAATCGATAAGCCACTTGACCCACCTTGTCTAACACCTTAAACGGGCCATAAAAGCGAGGGCTTAGCTTCTCATTGAGCTTCCTAGCTAAGGACTGAAATCGATACGGCTGGAGCTTCAAGTATACTAAATCCCCGGATTGAAAAGAGACATCCCTGCAGTGTGAATCCGCAGACTGCTTCATTTGATCTTGGGCTATAGCCAAATTATGTTGAGCTCTTCTAATATGGCATTTCTGTCCCTAATCTGTCGGTTGACATCTTCCACCAAGGAGGGACAGTCAGTGAGCTTTAAAAGAATGGGAGGATCCCTGCCATATAGAGCCTTGGAGGGGGTCATTTTGGTGGAGCTGTGGTACGTAGTGTTGTACCAAAACTCAGCCCATGCTAACCATTTGGGCCATTGCCGGGGTTGAGAGCTGCAAAAACAGCGGAGGTAGGCCTTTAAGCACTGGTTAACCACCTCCGTTTGCCCATCTATTTGGGGATGATAGGCGGAGCTAAATTTAAGAGATGTTCCTGCTGATTTAAACAATTCTTGCAAGAACTGGCTCATGAATACCCTGTCGCAATTAGAAACAATAGATTGTAGGAAGCCATGAAGTTTGACCACCTCACTCATAAACACATTAGCGACATCTTTTGCGGTGTAAGGATGGGCTAACAAGAGGAAGTGAGAGTATTTCGTGAGGCGATCGACCACCACAAAAATAGTATCATAACCTTTGGCCCTAGGCAACCCACTTATGAGGTCCATTGAAAGATCATTAAACACTTGGGTTGGGACCCTGCAGGTCTGAGTGAAGAGTGCTTGTTAACTTGGCAAGTGGCACATGTATGAACTAATTTCAACACATCCCGTCTAATGCCTTCCCACAACACAACAACAACTATTCTTTTATAAGTCCGAAAGAAGCCAGAGTGGCCACCAGTAGGACTACAATGAAATTCCTCTAGTAACTTAGGAATGAATGTTGAGTTTTTAGGGAGTACGAACCTGTTCTTAAACAATAAACAACCTTTACGGAGTTGGTAGTGAGGGCGACTACTGGGGTCGAAAAGGAGGTCTTGAAAAATGACTTGTAACTTCGGATCAGCTTGCGCTTCAGCGGCTAACGCATCATAATCAGCGAACTGAACCATGGTAATGGCAGTGAGTTCTCTTGTGTCCTCTCGACGGGATAAAGCATCAGCCACTTGTTAGAATTGCCTAGAAAGTAGTGAATCTCAAATGAGTATCCCATGAGCTTTGAAATCCACTTGTGCTGTTCCGACGTTTTAACCCTTTGGTCCGTAAGAAATTGCAAGGTTCATTGGTCCGTCTTGATGATAAATTTGTGACCAATGAGACATTGACTCCATTTACGGACGGCAAAGACAATAGCCATAAGTTTCCGTTCGTAGTCTGACTTAAGCCGAGATTGCAGTGAGAAAGCCTTACTGATGAAAGCAATAGGCCTAGCATTCTGAACTAAAACAGCACCCATTCCAGCCTCTGAAGCATTAGTCTGAATTTCAAATGGAAGCTCAAAATTGGGTATTGTCAAGATGGGAACAGTAGTCATGGCAGTCTTAAGATTATCAAATGCCCGTTTAGCTTCATCACCCTAAATAAAGGAATCTTTTTTTTAACAATTGGGTAAGTGGTTGAGCGATGGAACCATAGCCTTTCACAAATAGTCGGTAATACCCTGTAAGCCTTAAAAACTCTCTCAAACTTTTCACATTGTGCGGGACAAGCCAAGATGTCATCGATTCGATCTTCTGCGGATCAGCCTCCATCCCCTTGGCTGAGATTAAGTGACCCAGATATTCTAACTTATATTGAGCAAATAGGCATTTCTTTTGATTGACCACCAATGCATTATCTTGCAGAATCTTGAAAGCTTGCTGTAAATGGTGAATGTGGGTAGTCATGTCAAGGCTGTAGATGAGAATATCGTCAAAAAAAAACCAGAATGAACTTTCGTAATAATGGTCGAAAAATTGTATTCACAAGGCCCTAGAAGGTGGATGGTGCATTCGTTAACCCAAAAGGCATCCCCAAGAACTCATAATGGCCTTCGTGGGTGTGGAAGGCTGTCTTTGGAATGTCCTCCTCTTTCACTCAAATTTAATGATACCCGGACTTTAAATCTAACTTGGAAAAAACTGTAGCCCCCGCTAGCTCATCCAGCAACTCTTAAATAGATGGAATATGGAACTTGTTGGGTATGGTAATGTTATTTAAGGCTCTAAAGTCGACACAGAATCGCCAACTCCCATCCTTTTTCTTAACTAACAACATGAGGCTGGCGTAAGGGCTTGTGCTAGGTTGGATAATTCCCGCATCCATCATTTCCCCAACTAATCTCTCAATCTCATTCTTCTGGAGGTAAGGGTATTTGTAAGGTTTAATGTTGGGTAGGTTGGCTCCAGGTTGAAGGCTGATGGCATGGTCTAGTTTTCTGCAGGGAAGGAGCCTAGTAGTTTGGTCAAAAACTTGGGCGAAATCATTCAACATCTCAACCACCGCGGGTTCCAATTTTCCTTCTTCCTACTATCCTTGACCTCTATTGAACTGCATTCCACCAAGTATCCATCCCCCTCCATTGGCAACATCCTGAGTAAAGTTTTCAAAGAAACTACTGTCTTAACAAGTGAAGGATCACCTGCTTCCCTCCCTTGGCAAACGCCATAGTTAACTTGCCCCAATTGGAATAAACATCTCCTAAGGTGCTTAACCAAGCAATTCTAAGGACCATATCGGCCCCACCCAATTGAAATGGAAAATTTTTTTGTTGAACTTCCATCCCTTGCATTTCTAACTTCACATCCCTACAGATCCCTTCACCCTTGATTTTGAACCCATTATCCACCATGACCTCGAAAGACTTAGCTCCATCAATCGGAATTTTTAGTTTTTGCACTAAGGCTTGTGAGATAAAATTGTGTGAGGCTCCGCTATCCACTAACACAACCACCTCCTCACTCCCAATCTGTCCCCGAAGCTTCATGGTTCTATCCGATGTAATGCCAACAATTGAGTTCATGGATAGAGATAGAGGATTACCTTCTGCGGTAATTTCTGCCTCTGGCTCACTCATGGATTCTCCTCTATCAGGCTCATCGTCGTCAAGCAGCAATAAAACCTGGAGAGATTGACTCTTACACTGATGATTGGGACCGAATTTCTCGTCACATTGGAAACAAAGTCCCCTTTCTCGTTTATATTGCAAATCGGCCTCTGTTAACTGCCAGAATCCGTCATTTCGGGGTGGAGTTGTTGTTCCTTCCATCGGTTTTTCTCTCTTGTCCCACACATGATTACTCTATCCTGGTTCGGTGGGTTTGATTGCCGTATTCCACCAATTTAGACGACCCAGATCTGGAGAAGAAGGCCTGTCTGGGCTTTGGAAAACCTGGGATTAGTTTTGTCTAGGGCCCAATTATTTTCTTCTATTCGATGGGCCTGGTCAATGAGTTCAAACAAACTTCTGGACTTACTCAGCCTTATTTCAGCCTTATTTCAGCCCGTAACTCCTCTCTAAGGCCATTTGCAAAGATGCCCATTAGGAGATCTTCTCTTAACTCACGCAGAGGAGCTGAGAGTTCTTCAAAATGTTCGCGATATTCTGTCACAGTCCCAGTTTGCCTCAATGCCACCAGTGCTTCATAAGCAGACCCCTTATATGATGGTCGGAATCGTTCGACTAGCACCGATTTGAACGAGCTCCAAGAAGTTATTGGCGACCAGGATTCGACCCATTGATACCAGTTCAAGGCTCGACCCTCCATACACACCGCTGCAACTTGCGCTTTCTCTTCTTCCTCATAACGATTGACCGTAAAGTATCGATCAGCTTTGAAGGTCCATCCAAAAGGATCATCTCCGTTAAATATCGGCAACTCCAGTTTGCGAATCTTCTTATCCTCCTTCTCATTATCATCGCTGTGTTTTCGTTCAAGTTCCTTGTCTCGGCTAGAATTCTGATTCTCCGACTTCTGATTCTTCGACGAGGAGGATGATTTCTCCTCTCCCGATATCGTTTCTCATCCCTTTCTTCCCTCATACACATTAATTCGCGCATCTCCGTTGAATACTCTTTAACACTTCCCAAGTTAGTCTTCATCGTGTCCATGCTTTCCTTCACTGTTTTCATTTCCTTTTCAATGTTATCCATTCGGTTCTCCATCTTGGATTTTACCATTCCCCAACCTAGCTCTGATACCAATTTGATGAGAACACAACCGCAATGCTCAATAAAAATGCTATTTGTTAACACTCAGCATCACCTCTAAGTAACTGGAAAATTATACTAATATATTGAAATGAAAATGATGGCCAAACAAACTGAATACAGGAAATAACAATGACAGAAAAATAAAAGGGGTGACTAGCACTTCGAGGGGCTAGTGGCCTCCAACAATAATTCCAGATTTCATGATCCCATTAGCCAGCTATTTCCCCCTCTTATATACAACTGAAATCACACTCTCTGCACTCCCTTACGTGGAGATTCCATCTAACTAACCCTAATCTGAATTTCCCTTACTGCCCATTCTAACTGGATTTCCCTGGCTGCCCTTTCCGTTCTTTTTCTTGTACAGCTTAGTTATAGGAGGCCTATCAGGGTCCCTCCTTTGTACCAGTACATTTCTATGTGTAATGTTCTTCCGTAATTTTTTCTCTCTTATCAGTATCACATCTAGCTTCTCACTGATTTTTTTTACTGTTTTGACCTCTGTTGTTGGCTATGTAGCATAACATATCCTAATCCTGATTTTGCTGTCCTATTCTTTGAACATTGAATTCTTTATCACTGCCTGATACTACATTTTATATAAGTACCAAATAATAGATCCAGGACAGTGAGACTGATCTGAGTTTTGTATTTTCTGACTTGTAATGATCGCAACGTCATCACTCTTATTTCTTTGCTGTCTTCTACTTTAGTCATAATTTTTTTAAGACTTTTTGATTTTGAAGTGTCTTTTTATTACTGGTACAACTGCTCACCAAAAAACACACATTGGTCTAGGGAGTTCATGTATCACCATTGTTCCCTGTTGCAGGACATGATTCCAATATTGACTGAGCTTTGTGTTGCTCGGGACATGCAATTGGCACTTGAATCCCTTGTTGAGGGAGGAAATTACTGCAAGGTCTGTATACATATCTGGGAAAACTTCAAATTTCTATTACTCTTTTCTTATTTTATGTTGTATTATTAATAGTTGTACGTAGCATTTCTAAAATGTAGGCTTAATGTATATCATTGTACAGGCATTTCAAGTCCTCTCTGAGTATTTGCAGCTACTAGATAGTTATTCAGAGCTCTCAGCAATACAAGAGATGAGCCGTGGTGTTGAGGTGAATATTAAATTTCTCTTAAGAAATTTTTGATAACTTAAATCAAATAGGGTTCTATTATTTTATTCTTCTTAAAATTTTATTAAATCTACTTTGCAAAGTTAAAATTTCTTATGACACTTTTTTCACCTTGAGATGATATAAATTTTGGCCTTTGGGTTTACTAGAATTCAACTGTCGCTTTTTTTTCTTTTCCATTCTGGAAAATTAAGAAGCAGAGGTACACTAATTTTGGGGCCGGTTGGAGTATTGAGTCAACACTATAGAAGCATTTTGGTTCACTAATTTGTAAATCATGTAGGATGGACCACTGGTTCATACTACTATGTTTTACACTCTTTTTGATAGAACTATAATTACTTGTTCCCTATCAAAATAAAAAATAAAAAATGTATATATTTTTGCTTTTGTTGTTTACAGGTTATTTTCTGAACCTTTTATTTGGTACAAAAAATGATACAGGTTTGGCTGAGCAGAACTCTTCAGAAGCTGGACTCTTTACTGTTGGGAGTGTGCCAGGAGTTTAAAGAGGAGGCATATATTAATGTCAGTATATCTGTCTTTGATGTGAAATGGATCAGTTCTTCATTATTTCCAAAGTAGTGCATGCATGTAGTTTTAATTTCTACTTTTAAGCATCTTGACATTCTATTGTTTGCATCACAAGTGATAAATCGATATCCTTTTTCAAATAATTGATGAACTCCCTTTGACGGAATTGATAACCCATTTTAAAAGTCCAATTTTGTGTGGAGAGAATTTGGTGAGAGAAAGTATTAATTTCCTTAATCGCTCTTTTCTTGATGATATTTAATGCATTGGCAATCGACTGACAGGAATGTAAAAGGGGACAATTTAGGAAGGTTCTGAAATTATGTGAATTGATTTTCAAGACCGGACAACTCTTATGGGTTCTATTATGTGGAAAATGGAGCAGAAGGATTACCTTTCTGTTTCCGTTACAGCTCAAAAACTTCATCTATGCATATAGACATATAAATTTATTAAATTCTTGGAACCCTTTTACCCTATTGGGGATTTGTTGCTTTCATGATATTGACCAGAACTTGATGCAGTGGAGTAATCTGCTTTTCTCTCTCCTCTTGCTGGGGTGAAATACCACCAATACTTTACTTCCCAAAGCACTCAGTATTGACTATATATGAGCTTTCAATTTAGTTTATACGTGAGCTGATTAACTTCTCCCTTGCATCACATTTTATGAGCTTAAGATTGATTAATCAATTATCTTAATTAATATAGCATCATTCTTCTCGTACTTGATTTGGTTCACTTAGTTTGCCAAGTTGAACATCATTTTTTTCCCCTTCTCTTAAGTAATATTATTTATTAATTTACAAGGCCTCTCACAATTTTCAGGTTGTTTCATGAATTACTGTAATTCTTTTCAGGTTGTTGATGCTTATGCATTAATCGGGGATGTATCTGGTCTTGCTGAGAAGATACAAAGCTTCTTTATGCAGGAAGTTATTTCGGAGACCCACTTTGTGTTGAAGAGTATTGTGCTAGAGGTGTGGATATGCATAGCCAATTTTATGAATAATGAAAAAATATCTCTTATATAATCATATATGTGTTCCTAAGAAAAATATACTATTTGGCACCAACATAAATACGATTAACCATTATATTTTGTTAGAGTGGACTTAGCTTGCTTTCTTCAAGTACAGCTTTTGGAAATACATCAAGAATATTTTATAGTAATTGAGCTTTTATGAAAGTTGTTAGTTGTTTGGTTGGATAAATTTAATAAAACTTTCTAGTATTAAATTACCAAAAAAGGTTTTAATGTAAAAGAAATGATATAGTAAAAATTTTAAACTAACGAGGGGATATTTTTGACTCTTTCTCAAAAAGAGCTTATAGGAAAAGCCGAAAATTCGAGATTCTCCTAGTAGACTTAAAACTTCTATTTGGTAACTTATAAGCTTCTTTTGAGTTGCAACCAAACAACAGAAGAATTTGAGAAGAGCTTTTGACATTAAAAAGCTCTTTGACAAGCAGACAAGTCCAATTAGATAAGCACTTAGTTTACTTCAAGACTGATTCTTGTACACCTTACTGTAATGTCTTATCATTAACTAACTCTGGATTTATTTCTTATGGATCTATATTTCAAATTATTGAAACAGATTATACATGCTTAAGCATGAGCATGCACGTATGTGTATTTTTGGTTGGGAGGATATGTGAAATTACACATAGACATGCATGAAACATATAGTTGTGGTTATTCAATATGTATTGTCTTACTCTTGGTATTTATCTATCCTTTTCTTTGTTGAAATTAATCGGCTGCTTACTGTTCTATTAAAGGTCATTTTTTTCTAATATACTAACTAATTTTACAGGATCATGATTTGGACATGCAAAATAGCAGGTATTTTCTATAAACTTTCACAGTTCTTTAACAGACAGAATACTAATTTTGATACAGTTACTGATTTATTTTAGTTCAATTCAGACTTACCTACAGTGATCTGTGCCTGAGGATACCTGAATCTAAGTTCAGACAGTGTTTATTGAAAACGTTAGCCGTTTTATTTAAGTTGATGTGTTCATATCATGAAATTATGAGCTTTCAGCCAGAGAATAAGGTAAAGTTCTTTCATTTTCTTATCTGGTCTGTTTATTTGGTTTTATTACATATTTTCTTATCTTTTGTGATACAACTTCATATTATTTTCTATAGCACTTCTCTATTATTGTTTAAGTGAATTACTCTTCTCTACTTTTTCTCATTATGCTGATGTCACATATGTTTCTAGATTTAATAGTTGTCTGTGTTTGCCTACTGAATGTGATTGGCAGATTTACTTTCCATGGCACATTGCTTTATTTTCTTCGGCGTTACTCTGTTCTTAGTGCTGTCGTTAGTTGTATGAAACTTATGAAATTGTTGGGACATCATCTCCTGTTTAAAAAATTATATTGACCTCCCCTATATTTGATCTCCATGAACAACTCTAGTGTATTTTCTAATAAAGTTAATTACTACAAAACTAAGTATTTTTATCGAAAGAGCTTTATTTTCAATATTCATCTTTTTTTTTTTTTTTTTTTTTTTTGTCTGCAATGAATAATTAGCTGTGATTCTAAATACCTCTAGCTTCTTACAAGTAATTCCATTCATTTGTGTATTTCCTGTCATTTTGACAATTATTATCTGATGGTTATGTTTGTCGCTATTTTCTTTCGCTAGGTTTAGTGGACATGGTTGTTTCTGCCTCATATTGTGTACAATGAGGCATGGTGGAGCTGTACAATTTAGAACTTCTAAGTTAATTTAAGTTGTACAACCTAGATCTAGAGTTCTTTTAATCAACTCAGTGCCCTAAATCAAAAAATGTGGCCATGATTTTGTTAGATGAAAAGGTTGCTTTCATGTAGAGAAATTTCCAATTTTAGGGCATAACTTTGTATTCTTTCTCTCATCCTTTCCCCCAATCCATGTGCCCCAATCCACAAGTAATTATGTATTTCCAAATTTCTCTTTGGGTACCTTTCTTATGTTTATTTTGCCTATGAAACACAAATGTAATCAAATAATGACAATTTGGTGCAGAGTTCTCTGTGTCAGACCTCAAATAGGAAAAAGGATAGTGATATCTCTTGGAGTTCAGGAGAGGTTCAGCAAATTGATTCACTCAGTAGAAATTCTTGCAATTCCATGGGAGTTAATGACTCTCTCTCTGAATCTGTAGACAAGACGTCTGGTTTGTCTTCTGCAGTGGAATCTACAACCACCATCTCTTTGGCTGAGCCAGCAGGGACTAGTTCAACATGCATAGAATCTCAAGGTTCTGTAGAGGAGGCTAGGGATGATGGTAGTGCAGCATCCAGTAGTGGATCCCCATGGTATCAGCTCCGAAAAGATGCTACTGCTTTTGTTTCACAAACTCTTCTGAGAGGCCGTAAGAATCTTTGGCAACTTACGACTAGTCGGGTATCAGTATTGCTTTCTTCAGCTGCGGTTTGTTCTACAAGCATTCACCAATTCTTGAAAAATTACGAAGATTTGAATGTCTTCATCTTGGCTGGGGAAGCCTTCTGTGGGATTGAGGCAGTTGAGTTCAGGCACAAATTGAAGGCTGTTTGTGAAAATTATTTTGTAGCATTTCATCGTCAAAGTATATTTGTAAGTTGGGAACTGTAGCCTCTTGTTTTTTATATGGTTGTCAGTATCATTCTATACTTGATTTCATATCTTGTGTGGTATCTATGTTTTGATGACAAGGCACATCAGTTGCCATGCAATGAGCATAACATATTCATGTCATTCTCCAATTTAATGTTTTTTATATTATATACAATTTCCAACTTCAAACTTCACTGCAAAATAGATGGAAATGTGATTTTTACTTCATCGGTATTTGAGAACTAAGAACAACATTTGATTTTTTTTTTTTCTTCTGAAATAATATTCTTTACATCATCAGCTATATTAGTAATAGCCACTTTATCGATCATACAATTATGGTTCCAAACTGTTTGCATCAGTCAGTTAACATTAAGATAGGATATTAGAATATGGCCATGTACATCAATTTGTTGTAATCATGGTTTCAGCATTTCATATTGTTTCCCAAGCAATAATTGCTGACTGAATTTATTAGTCGACAAATACTTGTGGTATATAATTCTGCTTCCCATGTGATGGTGCCAACTAATTGATAACTTGTTGAGACAACCTTGATGTGGTGTGCAACATGACTAAAGATACTTTTTGCTTATTTTCCAGGCGCTTAAAATGGTTCTGGAGAAGGAAATTTGGATGAAATTGCCGCCAGATACTGTAGAAGGGGTTAGTTTTGCTGGGCTTGTAGGTGATGGAGCAGCTTTAATTGCTTCATCCAACTCTTCTAATGCTAGAGTACTTCATTCTGATAAATCTGCGAATTCAGTCAGTAGCAGTGCCGAGAAAAGTGGATTTTCTCATTGGGTTAAATCTGGGAACCCTTTTTCAGTAAAATTAACATATACTTCCAAAGAAGGTCCTAATTCCCCCCAACTTAATGGAGCTACTGCTGGGGAATGCGATGGAAATATTAATGATTATTGTCATGGTGATAAGGCCACTCCAAAAAGTGGTGGTGCAAGTCGCATGAATGGTATCAATTCGATCCTAGAAGATGAAAATGAAGATCTTCTTGCAGATTTTATAGATGAAGATAGTCAACTTCCAAGTCGAATTTCAAAATCCAATAATCGGAGAATTCACTCTTCAAATTCAAACGATGACGAAACAACTGCCCAAACAGGATCATCTCTTTGCCTTCTCAGGTCAGATGTTCTATACTTTCTGTGAAAAAAAATGTATAAAAACTCTCTTTGTTTTAGACCATAGGACCTTGATTATTTTATATAAGATGTATTCATCTGTCTTGATCTTTTAACATATTAGGTCGATGGATAAATATGCAAGGCTTATGCAGAAATTAGAAATTGTTAATTTTGAGTTTTTTAAGGTATGTTCTTATTAGTTACTCAATCTTTATTTAGCTTTTATGCAATGTAAATTATGTTTTTCGTTTAATTTTCTTCTCTAAGTTGTTTTTCCTGATTCAGTATATTGTTGCAGGGGATATGCCAATTGTTTGAGGTTTTTTTCTATTATGTATTTGAAACATTCGGTCAGCAAAACAATAATTCAAATGCAAAAGGCTCAAACAACCCACTTAATTGTAAGGTCTTTGTGTCGCTGTTTTNTGATCTGTGGTCGGAAAGGAACCCAGAAGTTGTTAGTGACTGGTTGAATCAGTTAATTTCTTGGTTCTGAAAAGTTTCTCATAACTGAAGATTGCGAGTTTCTTTTCCATATTGTAGTGTAACAAAAAAAAAAAAAAAAAAGAAAAAAAAGAAATGGAGACCAGTAGGAGTGCCTACTAAACCTGTAACAAGTATTGCTGTATGCTTTTGCAGGCAAAAGTATTTCCAAAAACTTTAGTGACTATGGTGCCTTAAGAATTCTATTTCCTGATGAATTTTTAGCATCTTTGTTTACATAATTTAGAAGATTGAAAAATCTGGAACCTCATTTGCATCATTCCCAAAGAAACAGCTATGCTCATGTGAAGATTTTGTATTGTTGGACTTCAGTTTATGAGTCTCACATTAGTTTCTTCTGTCAAAAATTCATGTATCGTGGCATGTGGAAGTTATAGTAAATTAAATGAATAAGATGCACTTGTCTAATTTGACCACAAAATTCATAAACCAAATTTTTCTTGGTCTGCAGAGAATGATATCATACCACAGACTTGAAAATCAAAACCAACTTGTCTGTATTTTTCTAATTAATCTTTAAAAGTGGCGGGTCAAATCAGAAAAGCCAAAGTGGATGCCAGTCCTTTGAAATTTTTCCTTTTCCTACCCTCATCTTATTAAACAGAACAACTTCAACACAATTTTAATCATCAGAAGCAATAACATCGAACCTAATAAATCACTATTGATAACAGACATCGAATGTCAAAGGAATATAGTAGAATGTTGAATTGATAACATGAGATGAAATTAAGAATAACATCATATTTATATAATAAGGAAGTTTTATTCAAATGGAAGACTTATGTAACACAAGGTTGAATTTTACACAAGATATTGACATTTTTCTTGGGAGTTTGGATGCTAATTGGTCTTCAAGTAAATAGGTACCAAGATGTATGGTTTTTAATTCTCTGTTAACCTACCCTAGTGAAGAAAATTCCTCAAAATCTGTTAATTAAACATTTATTATGAATCAATATATTATAGTAATACGTCTTAGTGGGCGTTTTAATGGTGACTCCATTTCCACTACTAATTAGAAGATAATAGTGGATGTTCCACTATCAGAACCAGCAACTGGTTTATGTAAAACTTAGATTAGGTTCCTACAGGAAATGATGATACATTACCATTACCAACTCACCATTTTGAAATAACTTAAAAACTTTTTCAAACAAATAGTTAATTGATCAAAATTCCATTTAGAATAATAAATGTTTACGGGAACATCCACCATGTGAATTAACAATAATACTATACTTACAAAGAAATCTTACAAAAATTTCCATACAAAATGAGGTGACAAAAAATGAATGAAAGAGTAAAACAAATAGTCAAACTCATTAAATTCACTATTCCATTCATTTTTTGCCACATCATTTTGTATGGAGATCTTTGTAAAATTTATTTGTAAGTGTAGTATTACTCATTAATTAATAATGTAAAATTTGGCTTTCCATTCAGCATCCACAAAATCAAAATCTTACAAACAATGGGCATACCATACCACATATTATAATAATCAGCATTATCACAATTTGAAAATAAATGATATATTATCTTTTAGAAAAAAAACAAGTATTAAAATCAGGCATTGGATTCCACATCATCTTCCATCTCACGCACAGCTTGAAGAGGACCACTACCAAACATGAACCCAGTGGCTGAGAGACTACTGAAAGGTTCATTTCCAAATAAACATACCTGAGGCTCAATCTGGTTCAACCAGTTCCATTCTTCCTCTGATAGACACCAACTAAAGATATCTATGTTTTTCCTTATCCGTTCCGGCTTTAGGCTACATGGTAGCACACTTGTGCCTCGCTGCAGTCCCCACCGTAGAATAACCTAAAAGTAATGCTCAACTTTAACTTCAACAATCATCAGGGGAAATGTTAACCACATAAGAAATCTACTCTTGAATCACGTTTAACTTCAAATCTAGCTTTCCTAAACATTTGAAAACAGTAAACTACTATAACCCTCTTCGACATACAGTAGAAGCTTTTGAAAACTTGTTATTCAACGGATAATGTATGTTGAACACTCAGTCTTTATCTCTATAAACCAAAGCATCAACAAATCTGTAAATGAAAAATTTAAAGACATAATTAATCTTGGTCATCCTTTTGGTGTATCTATAAACAAAGTGTACAATCTTATTGATCTAAGCTTACCAAAATAGTGACTAGTTGTTCCTTTCCGTTTACAAAGCCTTTATTGCTTTATTTCCAGTCTGTGAATATTCAATATCAGTGCAAATATTTCTTGTTCAAGTTGGCTGAAACAATAGTGGTTAACAAATAGGCATTTGTGAGAAGCTTCAAAAATTTTGTACTTCAAATATTACAGATAAGGCTGACATGTCAAGCTTTCTGCAAATCTTGGACAATCCTCAAGATGAGTATTGATGAGTTCAACTTGCTGATATTTTTTATATTTATATTCTGGGTAAATATCCTTGGGACCCCTAAGGTTCCATAGTATCGATTCATCCCCTGCAGTAATAAAACTATCTCAACACCTTCCACAGTAAGTGATTCTAAGGGTTTTGTGATATCTGTCCAAAAGTTTTTAAAGCCACAAGAATGATAAACCATATGGGGTGTAAGAGATATTTTTAGAACCGCAAGTATGACACCTAAGATCCAATAAGGATGAGCTGTAAGAATCCTACATTGTCTGGTTAAGGAGGCTCATTGGGCTATATAAATGTATACCTATTCTACTATTTTATAAGGCTTTTTGGGTGATTACAAAGGCAAAACCATGAGGTCTAGGCCTAAAGCGGGTAATATCAGTACTATATAGCAAAGAATCATTACAATTGGTATTGAGTTAAACCTACCTTATAGTGTAGGCCAAAGAGACATGTTGGGCAACTATTGCACATGAGGAGTTACTCCTAAAGAGAGTAGATTGTAGCATCCAAGATCTAAAGACTCTTTAAGGCAGAGAGCTAGAGGCTAAGAAGTATGAGATGAGGGTTAGGCACAAAGCAGATAATATTATACTATATAGCAAAAAATCATTACAATTGGTATCAAAGTTGAGCCTACCTCACGGTGTGGACCAAAGCCACATTGGGCTGAGATGCCACATGGGAATTGACTCTGACGAAAACACAACCGTAATGCTCAATAAAAATGCTATTTGTTAACACTCAGCACAACCTTTAAGTAACTAGAAAATTTTACTGATATATTGAAATGAAAATGATGGCCGAACAAGCTAAATACAGGGAATAACAATGACAGAAAAATATAAAAGGGGTGACTAGCACTTCGAGGGGCTAGTGGGCCCCAACAATAATTCCAGATTTCACTTTCCCCATTAACCAGCTATTTCCCCCCCTATATACAACTGAAATCACACTCTCAACACTCCCTCTTCCTACGTGGAGATTCCACACTAACTCTAATCTGAATTCACCCCCCCACCCCCCCCTCTCTTCGAGAACCACCTTGTCCTCAAGGTGAAAACCTGGAAACTGCAGAGCAATCATAAGCCTCCAAAATGGCTTCAAAGGGTGGGAGGTCCTGCCATTTAATCAGAACTTCCAAGGAGCCATCCAGCAGCTGGCGAGTAGAGAGGACAACTTCGGGGTGCACTTGAAATTCCAAGTCTTCAGTCAGAAAAGAGGGAAGCTGTTGGACAAGTACTGAAGAATGAAGACTCCGTTTAAGTTGGGAAACATGAAACACCAGATGGACACAAGAAGTAGGGGGAAGGTCCAACCAATAAGCCACTTGTCCAACCCTGTCTAACACCTTAAAGGGGCCATAAAAGCAAGGGCTTAGCTTCTCATTGAGCTTCTTAGCTAAGGACCGAAACCGATACGGCTGGAGCTTCAAGTATACTTAATCCCCGGGTTGAAAAGAGACATCTCTGCGGTGTGAATCCGTAGACTAGTTCATCTGATCTTGAGCTACGGCCAAATTGTGCTTGAGCTCTTCCAATATGGCATTTCTGTTCCTAATCTGTCAGTTGACATCTTCCACCAAGGAGGGACAGTCAGTGAGCTTTAAAAGAATGGGAGGATCCCTGCCATTTAGAGCCTTGAAAGGGGTCATTTTGGTGGAGCTGTGGTACGTAGTGTTGTACCAAAACTCAGCCCACGCTAACCATTTGGGCCACTGCTGGGGTTGGGAGCTGCAAAAATAGCAGAGATAGGCCTCTAAGCACCGGTTAACAACCTCTGTTTGCCCATCTGTTTAGGGATGATAGACGAAGCTAAATTTAAGGGATGTTCCAACTGATTTAAACAATTCTTGCCAAAATTGTCTCATGAATACCCTGTCGTGATCAGAGACAATAGATTGTGGGAAGCTATGAAGTTTGACCACCTCACGCAGAAACACATTAGTGACATCTTTGGCGGTGTAAGGATAGGCTAACAAGAGGAAGTGAGAGTATTTTGTAAATCGATCGACCACCACCAAAATAGTATCATAACCTTTGGCCATAGGTAACCCACCTATGAAGTCCATTGAAAGATCATCAAACACTTGGGTTGGGATAGGAAGGGGCTGTAACAACCCTGCAGGCCTGAGGGAAGAGTGTTTGTTGACTTGGCAAGTGGCACATGCTTGAACAAATTTCTGCACATCCCGTCCAATACCCTCCCAAAACACAACAGGAACTATTTTTTTATAAGTCCTAAAGAAGCCAGAGTGGCCACCACTAGGACTACAATGAAATTCTAGTAACTTAGGAATGAATGTTGAGTTTTTAGGGAATACCAACCTGTTCTTAAACAATAAACGACCTTTACAGAGTTGGTAGTGAGGAAAACTACTAGGGTCAAAAAGGAGGTCTTGAAAAATGACTTGTAGCTTTGGATCAGCTTGCGCTTCAACGACTACTAATCCATCATAATCAACGAACTGAACCTTGGTAATGGCAGTAAGTTCCCTTGTGTCCTCTCTATGGGATAAAGCATCAACCACTTTGTTAGAATTGCCCGGATAGTAGTGAATCTCAAATGAGTACCTCATGAGCTTTGAAATCTACTTGTGCTGTTCCAGCGTTTTAACCCTTTGGTCCGTAAGAAATTGCAAGCTTCGCTGGTCCGTCTTGATCATAAATTTGCGGCCAATGAGATAATGACTCCATTTACAGACAGCAAAGACGATAGCCATAAGTTCCCGTTCGTAGACTGACTTAAGCCGAGATTGAAGTGAGAAAGCCTTACTGATGAAAGCAATAGGCCTAGCATTCTGAACTAAAATAGCACCCATTCCAGCCCCTGAAGTGTCTGTTTGAATTTCAAATGGAAGCTCAAAATTGGGTCTTATTAAGACGGGAACAATAGTCATTGTAGTCTTAAGATTGTCAAATGCCCGTTGAGCTTCATCACCCCAACTAAAGGAATCTTTTTTCAACAATTAGATAAGTGGTTGAGCGATAGAACCATAGCCTTTCACAAATCGCCAGTAATACCCCGTAAGCCCTTAAAACCCTCTCAAACTTTTCACATTGTGCGGTACAGGCCAAGATATCATCGATTCGATCTTCTGTGGATCAGCCTCCACCCCCTTGGCTAAGATTAAGTGACCCAAATATTCTAACTTATATTGAGCAAATAGGCATTTCTTTTTATTGACCACCAATGCATTATCCTGCAGAATCTTGAAAGCTTGCCGCAAATAGTGAATGTGGGTAGTCATGTTAGGGCTGTAGATAATATCGTAAAAAAAAACCAAGATCAACTTCCGTAATAATGGTCGAAAAATCATATTCATAAGGGCTTGGAAGGTGGATGGTGCATTTGTCAACCCGAAAGGCATCACTAAGAACTCATAATGGCCTTCGTGGGTGCGAAAGGCTGTCTTTGGAATGTCCTCTGTAACTCGAATTTGAAGATACCTGGACTTCAGATCTAACTTGGAAAAGATTGTAGCCCCCGCTAGCTCATCCAACAACTCTTCAATGGATGGAATAGGAAACTTGTTGGGTATGGTAATGTTGTTTAAGGCTCTAAAGTCAACACAGAATCGCCAACTCCCATCCTTTTTCTTAACTAACAACATGGGGCTAGCGTAAGGGCTTGTGCTAGGTTGGATAATTCCCGCATCCATCATCTCCCCAACTAATCTCTCAATCCCATTCTTTTGGAGGTAAGGGTATTTGTATGGTCTAATGTTGGGTGGTTTGGCTCCAGGTTGAAAGGTGATGGCATGGTCTAGTTGTCTGCGGGGAGGGAGCCTAGTAGTTTGGTTAAAAACTTGGGCGAAATCATTTAACACCTTAGCCACCACAGGTTCCACTTTTCCTTCTTCCTGACTATCCTTGACCTCTATTGAACTGCATTCTACCAAGTGTCCATCCCCCTCCATTTGCAACATCCTGAGTAAAGTTTCCAGAGAAACTACTGTCTTAACAAGTGAAGGATCACCCTTGAGCATCACCCTTTTCCCTCCCTTATCAAACGCCATAGTCAACTTGCCCCAATTGGAACAAACATCTCCCAAGGTGCTTAACCAAGCAATTCCTAGGACCACATCGGCCCCACCCAATTGAAATGAAAAAAAATCTTGTTGAACTTCCATCCCTTGCATTTCTAGCTTCACGTCCTGACAGATTCCTTCACTCTTGATTCTGAACCCATTACCCACCATGACCCCGAAAGACTTAGCTCCATCAATTGAAATTTCTAGTTTTTGCACCAAGGCATGTGAGATAAAATTGTGTGAGGCTCTGCTATCCACTAACACAACCACCTCCTCACTCCCAATCTACCCCCGAAGCTTCATGGTTCGATCCGATGTAATGCCAACAATTGAGTTCATGGATAAAGATAGAGGATTACCTTCCGCAGTAGTTTCTGCCTTTGGCTTACTCACAGGTTCTCCTCTGTCAGTCTCATCGTCGTCAAGCAGCAATAAAATCTGGAGAGATCGACTCTTACACCGATGATTGGGACTGAATTTCTCGTCACACCGGAAACAGAGTCCTCTTTCTCGTTTATATTATAAATCAGCCTCTGTTAACTGCTGGAATCCGTCATTTCGGGGTGGAGTTGCTGTTCCTTCCATCGGCTTTTCTCTCTTGTCCCACACACGATTACTTTGTCCTGGTTCAGTGGGTTTGGTTGCCAGGTTCCACCAATTTGGGCAACCCAGATCTGGAGAAGAAGAGACCCGATTGTAACTCTCGGGTTTGCCTGTTTGGGCTTTGGAAAACCTGGGCTTAGTTTTGTCCAAGACCCGATTCTTTTCTTCTATTCAATGGGCCTGGTCAATGAGTTCAAATAAACTTTTGGACTTACTCAGCCTTAGTTCAGCCCGTAACTCCTCTCTAAGGCCATTTGAAAAGATGCCCATTAGGAGATCTTCTCCTAACTCACGCAGAGGAGCTGAGAACTCTTCAAAATGTTCGCGATATTCAATCACAATCCCAATTTGCCTCAATGCCACCAATGCTTCATAAGCAGACCCCTTTTACGATGGTCGGAATCGTTCAACTAGCGCCGACTTGAAAGAGCTCCAAGAAGTTATTGGCGACTGGGATGCGACCCATTGATACCAGTTCAAGGCTCAACCCTTCATACACACCGTCGCAGCTTGCACTTTCTCTTCTTCCTCATAACGATTGACCGTAAAGTACTGATCAGCTCTGAAGGTCCATCCAAAAGGATCATCCCCGTTAAATATCGGCAACTCTAGTTTGCAAATCCTCTTGTCCTCCTTCCTATTATCACTGCTATGTTCTCCTTTAAGTTCCTTGTCTCGGCCAGAATTATGATTCTCTGAAGACGAGGACGATTTCTCCTTCTCTCGGTATCGTTTCTCATCCCTTTCTTCCCTCATACGCATTAATTCGCACATCTTCATTAAATACTCTTTAACGCTACCCAAGTCAATCTTCATCGTGTCCATGTCTTCCTTCACTTTTTTCATTTCCTTTTCAATGTTATCCATTATGTTCTCCATCTTGGATTTTACCATTCCCCAACCTAGCTCTAATAGCAATTTGATGAAAACACAACCGCAATGCTCAATAAAAATGCTATTTGTTAACACTCAGCACAACCTTTAAGTAACTGGAAAATTATACTGATATATTGAAATTAAAATGATGGCCAAACAAGCTGGATACAGGGAATAACAATGACAGAAAAAATAAAAGGGGTGACTAGCACTTCGAGGGGCTAGTGGCCTCCAACAATAATTCCAGATTTCACTCCCCCATTAACCAGCTGTTTCCCCCCCTTATATACAACTGAAATCACACTCTCAACACTCCCTCTTCCTACATGGAGATTCCACAATAACTAACTCTAATCTGAATTTCCCTTACTGCCCATTCTAACTGAATTTCCCTGGCTGCCCTTTCCCTTCTTCTGCTTGTATAGCTTAGTTATAAGAGGCCTATCAAACTCCCATAGAGAGTAGATTGTTACATCCAAGATCCAAGACTCTTTGAGGCCTATAACAGGAGCTAAGAATAATGAAATGGGAATAAAATTTCATAATTTCACATTGCTTAAGTAAATATGCTCAAATAGTATGAGACAATTTGAGTGATTCCAAAATCAAACTATAAGGGGTAGAACCAAAACGAACAATGCCATTCCATATGATACCCAATAACAGAGGATGGATTCAATATTATAACAAACCTCAAATCTAAGTGATATTTATCCTATATTTATTCTTAAGCTTAGTGCATGGCATTTTATGAAGGAGTTTAGAACATGATATAAAACTATTGTCTAGTTGTTGGGTTTTGTCAAATCTAATTCCACTAGATTAATTTTTCAGGTTCAGATGTTTGGATCTGATGCAACATGAGACATGCTGTAACTCAACCATATTTGGGTTGGATTAGGTTCTCGAGTCAAACTGTGTTTTTTCCCTCTTCAACTTCAAACACAGCAATTTTCTCCTCTCTTTACCCTAACTGCTTATATTTAGTATATATGAAGTCTTTTAAACACTGGTAGTAAGTTTAATGAAGAGTACATCCCATAAAATTGTCGATTAATAAATTAGGGTTCTTTTTCCTCTCTCTCTTTTTTCTTTTGTGTTTGTGAGCTTATCAAAGCCCAGCCACAACAATCACCTTCCTCTATAATTGTCTCTAGAAAAGAAGAAAAATCAATATCATGTACTAATCATGAAAAGAAAATGAAAGAAAATCAATTTTTGTTGAAATTTTTCAAGACACAACATGTTCCAAAGAGCAAAAATCTCACTTGCAGCAACTTGGTGGTCGGAGACAGTAAGATGATTGAAGAATATAAAATGTGATGAGAAAAGAAGAGAAATCGTTGAAGTGTTAGACTTAAGGTTTGGTTGTTTTAATGGAGGTCAATGATTCAGTGTGGCAAAGAACATGGTAAGCAATCAATGGCCTAATCACAAGATTCCTCATAGAATTTAGAGTTTACAAAAAAATATTACTACTGAGTCGGTTCAATGAAATTGTTACTGCACAACCTGACACCAAAACCTACCACATCAGGTTGCTTAAGCAATCAAAACAAATAAGAATAAACCTGATCCAATCCACCATTTTTCAGGTTGGGTCGAGTGGGCAAGCTTCAAATTTACTACTGTGTTGGGTTCAATCAGGTAGTTATGGCACAACCTGAAACCAAAATCTACCACATCAGGTTGGCTTAAGTGCAACCTAAAACAAATAAGAATAAACCTGATCCAACCCGCTAATTTCAGGTTGGGTCAAGTAGGGCAAAATGTGCCAACCCCTATTGCACAGTAGGCAAGTTTGCTAAGAAACTTGCGCTATGCTCTCTTGCATGTAGGTTGAATGGTCCACTAAAGGAATTAATTGTGAATTGGGGCATTCAATCACAAATAACATTAAGCAAATAAAGTATCGTCTGACAAGATATTGAAACAAATAAATAAAATTGTTTCAATTACTTATGTCACTTAGCAACTTATGTGATAACATACTGTGATACAAGGTGGACTTTTAGTAAGCAAAATGCACATGAGAAACTAAGAAAATACAAGTAGAAAGTATTGACTGAAGGCCAAATGGTTAATATGATTAACCTCCTATAACTAAGATTTACAAGAAGAAGAGAGGAAGGGGCAGTATGGGTAATTGAGAAGAGAGTTAGTTAGTTGTGGAATATTCCACGTGGATTCAGAAAAGGGGAATTTGGGTGTGACTTCATTCTTGTATATAAGAGAGGGAAAATGCATGTGGAGGGTATCGAATATTTTGGATCATTGTTGGGAGGCCACTAGCTCCTCGAATTGCTAGTATTCCTTTATTTTTCTGTGGTATGCTTTTTCTTACTATCTTCATATCAATATATACAGATTTCCTGTTGCTTATTGGTTGTGTTGAGTGTTAATGAACTGTATTTTGATTGTTTTGGTTGAGTTCCCATCATAATACAAAGTGAAAAGGCTCAAAATATAAAGAAAAGAATGACATGGGCATAATTAATGTAAAACAAAAGACAGAAGGAGAAATTTTGGAGTAAAGAAAGAGAGAGAAATTTGGGACAAGATCCAACCAACCCCATTTTATAACATCTCAGGTATTATTAGAATATAAATATTGAAGACACTGCACATGGTTTTAACAAGGTTCATCGATAAATGCACCTCCAATCTGTAATAGTAGGTTAACATAGGATGTTGAAGGGGCCACCCTCTTCTCCTATGGTTCATGTTTATCTGAATGATTACTTAAATATATGGAGGTTGTTGGGTTTAAGATGCTGCACAAAGAACAAAAAACTCATTGTTTACTCAAAAAAAAAAAAATTTTCTTTTTTTGGGATTTTACATGATTAAGTTGGATTATTACTTGCTTGGATTAGATATAGTGTTTCTAAATTTGTTTTCTTATTTGAGTAGGTTTTGAAATCCTTAAGTGTAATCAGTATAGATTGGTTTTATTTACGACTGGACATCATAAATTTTTCCCAGAGAGAGGAAAATAATATTACTTGAGAAAAAGAGGTTGCAAAAGTGAACCAGAAGTTCATTAAAAAGAGTCTGAGGAAAATAAAAGCCATAGGAGACTACATGCCAAAAATTCTCTCTGCATTTGAATGGTGCATAATAAGAGGCAGCCCCAAAATACAAAATTAATAAAATTCCTTCCCCATTTAAATTGATGAAAAAAAAAAAAAAAAATGAGTTCTCTTGGGACTAAGGTCATTTTCCTAAAAATCAGCAGTACTTTCTTGCTAAATCACCTAAAACAGAGAAAAGACTGCGCATCTCTATAAAAGTCTTTGCCATTTTTCATTTCCCCAAGCTTCAAAAGTGGCTGGGGATGCCTAGAAAATTTAGCTGGCTTGCACAAATTTTTCCCATAGAGAGGATACGATAAGACAACCTCCCATAAGATAAGAAACAAGAAAATAAAACTGAAAAAGGGGAAAATATACTTCAATGAGCCTGCTAAAGGTTTTTACTTAAAAGTTCCTTCAGTAAGTTCTCACAGGTACAAGATAGTTTTCTAACCCTATTTATCATACCATTCATAGTACACTTAACATGAATCCTACCTCAACTCACTACAAGTCTAGTTATCTCACCCATAAAGAATGATGCAAACCAAGCACCAAAGGTTTAATTTTTATTTTAAGAGATATTGCTAAATGAAGAATTATTACTCATTTTAAGAAATAGGTTATTTAGGGATATTACTTAATTGACTGATTATTACATGTTTAGGTTAGATTTAGTTTTCCAGAATTTGATTTTTATTTAACCAGGATTTTAATTTCTTATTCGAAGTAGATGTAGGTTTCCCTTTCATAAAGGTCTTGATCATTACAAAGACGCCTTTTGTTTTGCTGTTGGAGAATATAGACTAATTGCATACATATATTGATGAATTGGTTTCTCTCGTCTTTCACAAAATTCTTCTTTTCCCTTCTAATTTTTTCTTCTCAAAGATTATCCTCTCTAATTTCTTTTCATTTCTTCTCTTTTGTCTCTCTATCCTTGCTTTTTATTTCTGTCCTTCTTTCCTCTTTATGTCTTACACCAGTTCAGTGTGGATGGAAGTGGAACTTACAAGGGGACTGAGGGGACCTAGACAATGAGGGTGTAGGAAAAGTGAAATAAGGTAGCAAGTAGTGGATTGAGGGGATGTTGGCAGGAAACTTCCATGGGTTTAGGCTGGGACAGGTGGCGATTGGGGGTTGGGACAGCAAAGGAATTCAGTTAGGGAGAGAGAGAGAGAGAGAGAGAGGTGGAGGATAAAAAGAGAGGGAGAGAGCAGATTAGGGCAGAGAAGAATATAGGGAAATTTGGGAGGAGCTAACCCTTGAAGTTAGCAATTAGGGAGGAGCTGGCCCTCGAAGTCCAACACTATCTTTGTTTCTCTTTTTTTGGCTTTCTTTGTTTCTTTCGGCTGTTGTTGGATGGCGTTTTGGCTGTTTATCATCTTGTATCTCTTTTGCTGATTATCAATATATATATAAATAACATTTTCTGGATATTTGGTTGCTGGTTGTGATTATTATTCTAGGTTTAATTGGCTGA